TCCTTTCCTGAGCAATTGAAACCGATTTGAAAACAATACGAAACCCAAAGCTTCTGACAACCCTTGAACTCTGAGCCATGGCAGGCTCTCATGCTAAATCTCGGGCAGTGAACTGTGTGCCAACAAAAGCTGCCATGCTGATGCTTTGCTTGATTCCAAGACTGCCAAGCCCCTAAACACTGATGGCTCTGCTACCACAGAACCTGCTGATTTTCCAGGCTGTTGTTGCCCAGCCCTGTGTTGCAGTTTTGTTCCCTTCTGGTTCATAGGGCATCCACCCCGCAAGTGGAACTTCAATCTTCTCATAATTCTGCACCCAGGCCGTGGTTGTGACATGCTTGACAACACCAATTGCTGACCGTGTAACACACTGGCACGTGCTGTTCTAGCACAGGCTATGCAAAAGATTTAAGTGAAGCTGACAATGTTTGTGTGTAAGTTGTTGGTCTGAGAGCAGACGCCCGACACTCGTGCTACGTTAAGTGTAGGTTACCAGGTTCGTGTGTGCAGACAAGCAAGATCCTCGATGCATCAAATCCAGACCCGAGAGGAAGGGCAAATCTGCTGCTTTTTGTACCTTTGGCGAGAAGCTGATCGAGTCAGAGTTCAAAGCAAGATCAGCGAAAGCTGGTTTAGTTGACTGGTGATTCTTAGCATTCTCAGGATTTCGCAGCTCTGTCAGTCCTGAAAGGCCGCGCTTGGACTCAAGCTGTCTTCACTCCTGCAAACTCTGGGAGGGGAGCAGCCTTGGCGTCCGATAGAGCAACGAGAAATCAATGACCAGGCGCGGATTGCACTGGCCACTGCCTTTGTTGTTCAGCGCGGGGAACTTGGAGGAACGATGGACGGCTAGTTGAGTTTCTGTCAGGCATTGGCTTCACCGACAGATGGGCTTATCTTGAACTGGCAAGCAGGACCGGGTGCATGGCATGTGGATCGACTTTCTGCGGTGATGCGGGATTAAGTGTTTTCATGCTCCGGTGAACCGTATGAACCGTCAAAATTCAGATTTGCGGATTTGCAGCTGCTGAAGGCTGCTCTGACCCCATCCTTGATGCAGAGGGACAGCTGCAGGCACCATCGACACACTTGTAACCAGCTGTTGACAGTTTAGAGTAGGTAACGTGTTGCTCAACTATGTATAGGTTTGCACTGAAGCGAGCTTGAAAGGGTGCTTGCCAGCACTGCTGCGTCTTGCGTAACACGGTGCTTGGGCCTGGGGCAGGCATTGGTATCGCTCGGTGCCATATGCTCAGAACTGCGACGCACGGACATGTGACATGATGTCACTGGATCTTCCTTGGAACACTTCGTTCTCTTCAGGTGACGGAACGTCGCACGATGCTGACACTGGAGGACTTGCATCTAGCCAGTTGTTGTTGTTGAAGGACCTTGCTGCAGCACTCATCCAGTCTTGTTCCATTTGTTCTAACTGTAGGCCGCAGAGCATTGCACCGGGGCAAAGCAGTCGAAGGTTGCGTGCTGCTTGTGAAGGAGAAGGTTGACAAGCCACGCTTCGTGCTCACCAGTCTGAACAACACAGTGAGGCGAGCGTCGCATGTGTTTCGATTGCATGTGTTTCGATTTCATGTGTTTCGATTGCTTGGTGCTCCAGAATTCTGAGCCTGGGACTCTTACACTGCTTGTCTTTCAAACCAGCGGCTCGCTAAGTTTGGAATTCACGAGGGCCGAGAGAGCTCTGACGCGCCTGGGATGGGACTTTGCCCGAGAAGCTCCCGCGTGAACTTCCACGAGCATTTGCCACCATTGGATGTACCCTGACCGTGTGAAAAGCATGAGAGAATGAGAAATTATCCTCCTTTTACTCACCTGGCCCACTGGCTTTGAATTCCACTCGCAAAATACCTGAGAGCGCAGAAAGTGAATGCTTCGCTCCACAGACGCCATGACGCAATTGGCGCATACCTTCTGCAAAGCTGAACACTTTGCCAGGTGTCACTGGTTCTGCGAGAACTGCGTGACGTGGCTTGCAATTCTTGAAGCCCTGGCTTCAGTGGAGCCCACTGAGTTGTCCTTCTATGTTCGTTTACTGCTGTGCACAGTCAAGTATGTGAAAAGTCAGCAGCCGAAGCGCATGCTTGATGCGCCCCGCGCCACTGAACTTGGGGCCAGCATTATCAGCATCATAGGGTGTCGGTACCTGTCAGAATTTGTTGCACGCATGCTGTGCTCCAAGGCAATGTGTAGCAATCCATATCATCACACATCCGCTGGCGGAAGCTTCAAAATGCAACTCACAAAATGAAAGGCCAGGCGCAGACACGTGCTGAAGGGCTGCCTGGCTGCTTCCACAACGCAGGAGGGCATGGAGCGAAATGGCTGTTGCCAGTGCTGCCAGTAGTGGCTGGCATTTTTTGGGGGTGCACTCAAAGGAGGGCCTGGATGGAGGGGCCTGGTTTTGGCCGACATTTTCTGCATGAGGGGCAGTCGTCTCAAAAACAGCTTGATACAGCAAATGTCACCGCTAAGCAGGTCGGCGGATTGAAGGCATCACTGCTGGTTGCCGCTGGTGTTGTTTGCTGGTCGCTGAGGACATGTGGCTTGATACCAGGGAATCCAGTTACTCTCGCAACATATCCAAATCAGTGCCTTGGATGCAGTTGCCACACTGGAGCCAGCAGCTTGCCGTCAGTTTGCCGTCGCCAGCTCATTGTCAACTCGGCAGGCTCCAAGCAGACATGTTTGCGGCAAGCCGGACTTCCATGGGCAACCAGTTGAAGTGCTTGCGATGCGCAAGCCCACGGCGAAGCCACGTGTCTTCGATCTTGCCGCTCGGCAGACCCAAGCAGGTAGGCACTTAGAGTGACGATCTCCAGGGATGCTGTTTATCTCTCAGGACAAGGGCGCCGATCTAGGCTGCCACCTTCGTGCAGCGAAGGGCCCTGAAGGGTCCAGGCAGCAGGGTTTATGTGCTAGCCCTTTCTGGCAAGAGTGCCATTGTCTGACACACCCTGCTTGCTGCTTGACCTCCAATTGAGGACATGCTCGTTAGTGGCAGAAGCAGCCCTGTGACTGCACTCCAGGTTACAGCTGCAGCTACGGGTTCCGATCAGCAGCACGGTGCAACAAAGTGCAGGCGTAGGTTGTCATGGCTATCGTAGGGTATCTAGTGTACCAAAAGGGTGTATACCACCTGCATGTCTGCCCGATCAAAGGCGCTCTTCACCAGATCGAGTATGCTGTCGGGGTGAGCTGCCAGCGCCTGAAGGCAAGGCCGGTTACAGGCAGCCCTTTGGCGAGTTGGCATGTTGTCAGGCATCGGTTCGAGTCTCCAGCGCCTTGCAGAACGACAACGAGGCTTTGATTGCTGTAAGTCAGTTCCTGACATCTCCCTCCCATCATCAACTCCTAGTCCACATCACGCTTCACTGGTTATCCTAACTCCAAGATGCTCGCGGCAGGCGGATGCAGAACAGGAAGTGAACCAGGCGCAGTCCTTGCGTTGGCTGTCGTCGGCTGAAGCAGAGGCTAGTGGAGCTGGAGTGCTGTACAGCCCATGCAGGAAGAATGCCCAGCTGAAGAGGCCTGTCCGAAAGGCCGGGTGTGCGTTCTGCAGATGTCTGCACACCTGGCGAGGAGGAGCAGAAGCAAGAGGGTGAGGACCTGAACGCCTTGCTTGCTCTCATGGTCTATGCCCACAGTTCCAGGAGGCTCCACCAAAGCGTCGGCGCGTTGAGCTTGGGGCAGACCAGAACCTCGGACAAAGTTTAACACGATGCATCTTTTAGTGATGAGACGTTGCCCAGGACGAAGGCCAGCCCGGCCAAACGCTTCTCGATCTTGTCCTGCTTGGAGTTGCCGCAGGCCAAGCATGCACGCTCAGTTTCCAAAGCTTCTGAGGCTTCCAAGTGCTGTGCACTTTATACTGTACGATTACTCAACGCTTACAAAAGTGTTACTTGTAGCTATGCGGAAGCTAATGATGGTAATGTGCATCCACCTTTTGAGAAGGTACCAGAACAGCCGCAGGGATTCCTGGTACCGCTTCATGATTCTCAACGCAGGACAGTCATGGCATGCTGGAGCTGCTGGGTTTGGTAAACACGCCCTGCAAGCAGATCATAGCATCTTGAGGACAGTCTGGTGGATGGCATCGCGCGAGGGCCTCCGAGTCCCTGGCTTTGCTGAAGCAGACCCTTGTGTCGCATCATAATTTCGACCCATGATTTAACAAAATTGTGTTTATCATGAGAAGGCAACCAAAACCATGGCCCATAATCGACAAATTCGCGGATGGTTATACCTCATTTCCACGAAAAATTGGTGGCCGGTGAACATTTCAGGGAGAAATCTCTGCACAAGCTTTGCGTACAAGCAAGGCTTCGCTGGCACTCAAGGGGAAGTCAATGATCACAGATGATCAAAGGGTAGTGCTGCAAAACGGCCATGGCAGACTGCGAGACATACCTGCCAAGTACTGATAACGTATTTGGCAGACCTGCTAAGTCGGGAGGATACAGCTTGGCGAAGCGCCGAGTGCAGACTTCATCACCCAAAACCTCTGTTTGCCCTGCGGGTACTTGCCTTTCGTGCCGAGCTATCGCTTCCAAACCATTTTTAGTCGTGCCTCTCCCAAAGCTGAGAATGGCTAAGACTGAAAGCGAGGACACTGCCTTTCCTGGCTTTGTCTCTGTGCAGCGCTTGAGCCGCCGGCTTGGCAAATCTGCAGCCTGGGAGCAAGTCGTCTGATGAGTTACGACGCATCAGTCTGTGAAGTCCCAGCATTGGACTTGATGGCGCTGGCTTATGAACTCCTCGCCACGAGCATGCACAAGCTAAGCAGCCAGCCAGCCGCAGTCAAGCTCAGCTAAAGCGAGGCGAGGTATGCAAACAGCACCTTCTTTAATTTGTCGGTCAGCACCAGAAGAACTTGCAGCACGGACGATGCAATGTAGCTACTGTACAACGTGCGGAACCCGATCTCCACTCATATGGAGGTATCAAGAACAAGAAGTTCTTGAGCAAAGCCTGCCCACAGCATGAGCAACAAACCAGCATCTGAGGATGTACGCTTGCAGCTTAAGGCCCGCAGAGATGCAAGCGCAGCGGACTCAAGCTGCTTGAGCCTGTCAATCCCTGCAGTTCGAGCGCCTCTTCTCCCACGCCAGGGGGGGACTACTGGCAGATGCTGCAGCTTTGAAGCAAAAGCCGTCATGGACCGCACGGCCAGCCTTATCACAGCTTGCACAGGTTGGCTATGGCAAGACTGCATCAGTCCTCGCCCTTGTTGCGCTCTCGCGGCCCGCGTCCCCGGCAGCACCGCCGACAGGTCAAGCAAATCGCATCGGCTCTCGTACCCAAGTTGCAGTGAAGGGATGAGGGCCAATTTCGTTCAAGGGAACATTGCCAGTGTTCAAGGGGGCTGACTCCAATTTGTTGTGGCTGTGGGGGCTCCTAAGCTGGGTGATTATTGCCAGAAGGATTGGCAGGGCAATGCATGAGTAACCAAGGCGCGACACTGGTCCTGGTTCCGGCAAACTTGCCACTTGCCAGACTTTCTGACTGTGCTGAAGCCGCTTCATCGACGTGCAGCAAGTAAGTCGGGCAACCCATGGCCAGAAAGCACAAGGCCCGTTTGTTGACCATCAGGTTTGAGCAATGGCAGAAGGAGATCAACAAGTTCTTGAGCGAAGACACCAAGGTAGCGAAACGTCATGGGTGCACATACTAGCACCTGTTAGTAACTGACACGGACACAATCAACACACTCCGGCTCCCGCCAGACTGTTTCGATAGCCACGATCGCGGACCTGCGGAAGGCGACCATTGGACAGCTGCAATCGGCGGAGTCTTGCAGAGGTTATGGCAGATGTGGCTATTGACGGCTATTGGATGATTTGTCCGTGCGCTCCATGTGCTCTGCATAGCTTAGGACATCGTGCTTGTGAGTTGCCGTCTTCTGGTATCGAAAAAATATCAGGTGCGCGCAGTCCTTGTACAAGTTTTCGCAGGAGAGGTGTGCGCATCTGCCATTCATCTACCATCGTCCGCTGAAGGAGCATCTGGATGCCCTTGCTGGCCTGCCGCCGACCGTTCAGACTGCAGCCTGGGCTGTTCATACTGAGTTCTGTCAATTGGGATGCGAATACCTCTTACCTCGCTTCGGGCTTCAGAGGCCACGAGCAGCCATTGCTAAGCCGTCCGTGAGGTGACCTCTGGCCAGAAGCTCTACGAAAGTGCCTTTCGGAAGTGGCAAACACAGAAGTCGCGCTACGACTACGACAGGCCTTTGCTGATGGCAGTGCGTTAGGAGCATTCAGAGATGCAGAGTGTGATGACGTGCGGATGCTTGTGGCTGTTTCGACAGGCACATCCATCAGATGGGGATTCAGATGAACATGCCTGTGGGGTTTCCTCAAGTCCCATCCCCAGATGAGACAGCTCTGTGCGATCAAGATCGCATGTGCACAATGCGCACAGTAAGGTCCGAACGGCAGATCCTGGGCCAAAGCCGCAGCAATCGGCTTTCAAGGAAACGCTGCCATATGCTGCAGAGAGTGATGCAGAGTAGCAGGAGGTTTCATGTGCTTCTGACGCCTCTTCCCAAATTCAAAGGGTTTCAATCCCAAAGCCTGATTGCAGGACAAAATTGAGAGTAAGCCCTTCGTCAGCAATCTAAGAAAGTGACCTTGGTGGATCGCTGTCAGTTCTACATGGCACACGAAGAGCATGCGTGGACTGCCCTAGATCTTCGCACTCTTGAAGCCCTCAGGCGCTGCGAAATCACATCCGGGCGCCTTTCCCGACGCCGCTTCACCCTCCTGGAGCGGACAAAGACGCTCTTGGAACAGGGTCAGGCCCGTGTGGACCCACAAAAAGCACAGGTTTTAGGAACAAACCAAAGGATGCGCGAAAGTATGTGGAACCGTGGAGCATGTTGCCGAAGCAAAGTTGCCTCCTCTAACTAGATCGAGGCTTTTCAGCAGACAGGCCTTTGTATGAATTTCCATTTGTCAAATATCAAAGCAGGACCTTGGGAATCTCAGTGCACCTCCGCTGGACATCTTCTACTGGCACCGGCTAGTGGTGGACGAGCTGCACGAACCGCTTAGGATGCTTCGGGATGCTGCCGGTCTACGCCAGAGTGGGCAGGTGATGAGCTTCAAGGCATTGTGCGGCGACTCTCGGGTTCTGCTTCCTGTCCGCAGTGTTCAGAGGCTCAGAGGCTGAGAGCTGCAGGTGATAAGGCAGAATTGGCCTTGCCCTTGATGCCCTTGCCTGAGGTTCCACAACCTTGAGGGTCTTGAAGCGCGCAGCCGCTGGGGGCTCACAGCAACACCACCTACGGGCACTGCTGCGGAGATCTCCTTTCTGGTGCCTTGGCCGGACCTAAGTTCTGGAGATTTTGCCTTCAGATTGTGCTTGGATGCCGTCAGGCACGATTCCATCGCGTGTTTGTGCCTCGGGATAGTGACCTTGAAGCGCAGCCCTGGACTCAGGGAGCTCTCGGTAGTGCTCGTGGCGATACCTAAAAACTTGAGGAACAGGCGCCAAAGCCAGTGGACTGACTTAAGTTAAGGCATTACCTGGATGAGTACCTTCGCTCAAACGGTCTGGATTTGTCGGGCATTCCGCTGACATACCATCTTATACCCGTTCGTGCCACAGGCAGGAAAAAATCGATGGCACTACCCAGTCTGCGTCTACTGCCAGTAGGACTTGCAAACGCTGTTTCGGCGCCGCTTCTGCAAGTTGTGTGGAGGCGGCGAGAGAGCCCTGTACCTCAATGCGTGCTTTGACAAGAGCAACTTCCAGGACAAGACCGCTGATCGCACAGCCATTGCATGTCTCTGCATGCGCGGTGTTCTTAGCCTTCTGGCAAGAGTCCAGGCACTGCTACAACTGTGCAACTACTTCTCGCCGGATGGGACCGACGCCGCAGCTGTGCCAAACCAAAGTCCAGCTTGCGAAGGCTTGCAAGGGGCAGCAGTCTGCTGAATTTCTTCCTTTGCGGATCCCAGGACATGGCTTCGGCCATAAACTCCACGCGGGAAGACAACCGAAGGGCCTTGGACAATCATCGCTCTGTAAGGGTCTCACATGCCTCTGGCACTGCAGCTCTGCCATTCTCAACGGCCTGGTTTTGTGCTGAGGACATGCAGAAGTCTGAAGATGAAATTCATCGACTCCAAACCGAAGAGTGTGCTGGCTTCCTTGCTCAGCCGAGACTGCTGAAATCAAGAAACTAAGCGTTACCAAGTGGATATCAAGTCCCACAAGGCTTCCCGTCTGCCCGGGATGATGAGGACATCAAAAAGCGCAAGGCACCAGAGAACATCGGAAAGCATGTCACCTGTATCGAGCTGCTGTATCTTGCAACTGCCCCATGTATCTTGCCAATGTCTTTCTATGCTGTTCGTGTTGACCTAAGAAGGCAAAGCTGTCTCGGCTGCTGGCTGCCCAGCCTTCACAGCGTGAGAGGGAGCGTCGGCTGGAAAGCCGGGTCAAGTATTTCGAGGACGCACTGGGCCGTGGGTGTAAAGTTGTGTATTACACCGGTAGCAGCTTCAAACCTGATCTGTCCTGCCTGCGTCGCACCACCACCGGTATTAGTGGTCCCATTGGGCCACTCAAGTCCCGCTTCAGCTCCTCATGCCATCTTTCCAAAGCGCCTTCAGCAAGATCAATTTTGTCGCCCCCTCGTTTTCTACGACCGTAAGTGGAAGAGAAGCTGATGAAGCTCATGTGCCACCCGACTTACCCATGGCTTGCAGACCAATAGCTAATGAACTGTTTCTGAACAACAATCTGCCCAAAACTCAGACCTTAAATATGCAAAAGACCCTCCTTCAACTTGCTGATGTCTGTATCTGCTGTCTTGCTGGTAAGCAGGAAGTCCTGCAGCACCTGGAGAAGTTGGAGCAGGACAGCCGCTTCAAATGGCAAACTGGCTCGCATAGTTCATCCGCGGGCATCGACCCTGTTTTTGACTGCTGACTGCTGACTTGCTGACTCACGTGCCGTCGTACAGGCTGGCCACGATGATACAAGGGTACAAGGGTATACTGTGTCATGAGCATCCGCTTGTGCACAGGATTGGCAACCAATGCCGCAGCATCGATGCTCAGCTTGCTGCAACTGAAAAGGCTTCAGCGAGGCCTGCCCCTGCTTTGCTTGCGTGCAACCTGTGAGGGTTTTAGCTTTCAATATTGGCACCGGAGCCTGAGGGCCGGAATTTTGATTCTGGCCTAGTTGGGGCTAGGCTGCTCTGCTTTTCCTTTCGGCCTGCCATGGCTGCTGCTGCGACGGCAGTTCCAGTGCCAGACGGCAGTGATGATGAGTTGATAGATCCGTGGGACCAGCCAGAGTGGATGCTTCCTTGCGAGGTGCCTCCTGGGGACCGACTCTGCAATCGGCGCCTGAGATAGCTCCTGGACAAGGGCGGGGACCTTTTGCGGCAAGCCAGGGTCAGTGGTTTCCGCCTCCTGGCTTCGCTCCTGTTCTCCCTCCTGGGTGGCCACCTGCGCCTGGAACTTTCTAATGTATATGCTGGGCATCCAGGACCTCAGCTTGGAGTACCTCCTCCTTGGGGCATGTGGCCAGGTGGTCCTTGGGGAATGCCCCCTCCGATGGCCATGGCGGCGTCTACGACACCTTCTAAATGGGTGCCTGTGGGTTCCTCGACCGGAGCTCCGACAGCTGTGGATCCTAGTGGGGCCGGGGGCCCTGGACCTTCCCCTGCCTCACCTGAAAGGCCAACTTTGGGACCGAGACCGACTTCCTCTCCGGCGACTCCTTCTCCGGCGGCTTCTGCGCCTTTGTCTCGGCGCAGGGCCCTGGCAGAGCTCAACGGCGATGACTTCGAGCAGTGCGGCGACCTCAGACTTGAGAAGCATGTTGCGAAGGAGGGCCAGGGACTTGGAGAGGCCAAAGAGTTCGATAGGAGCTGTTAAGATTGAGGAGTTTGCGGGTGACAGAAGGAAGTTCAAGGCCTGGCGTCGGGCCACGGAGGCCCAGGAGCACCTCTACAAGTTGGAGCCCGCAGAGCTTGCGATGCTGGTGTACTTGTCCACCCGAGGAGAGGCCCGAGATGTTCTCGACCAGCGCCCTCTTTCTGACTACACCGCTTCTGGTGGTTTGGCAGTGCTGTGGCTGATTTTGGAAGAGGCCTTCGGTGAGTCGACTGCCGAAAGTTTTGAACGAGCAGAACGGGAACTCAGTGCTTACCGCAGACTTCCTGGACAATCCGTAGCGTCCTTTGTGGCAGGGATGAAAAGACTTCGGATGAATTATATCATTGAAGATCCAGATTCCTCCTGGTCAAACCGCGCCTGGGCCCAGAAGCTGCTTAATCGTGCGTCCTTGAGCCGACGCGATCGATTGGACGTCTTCTACAGTGCAGGAGGCCAATACGACTCGGATACCATCGAGAAAGCGCTTCGGCGCAGGTGCTCGCGCATCCACGAGGAGGAGAGAAGGGTGCCTTACTTGGGCACAGCAAGCAGCGCCAGAAGGACGAGCAAGGGACCCTCGACATCCTCTTCGGCAACGTCCACTGCTCCGAGCTCCTTGTCGTCGGCTTCCCGGTTCAAGTCTTTCCGCAAGAGTGGTGTTCACGTTGCAGGGCTCGACGACGAGAACGACGACATCAATGACGAGGAGGACTTGGAGCAGGAGGCCAATGCAGAGGGCATGGATATCCTTGATGAGGAGGATGGCGAGCCTGACGAGGATGAGGGCAACATCCAGGACGAGGATGGCGGCATGATCCCGGAGGCAGCTTCGGAGCAAGAAGTTTACGAAGCCTTTGCAGCTGGGTGGAAGGCAAAGGCCAAGACAGCTGGAGTCCGGAAGGCCCGTGGATGGTCGAAAGGTGGCTCCGCTGGTTCGTCTTCTTCGGCCAAGTCGCTGGCGGACAAGAAGCGCATCAGTGCTTGCTCTTCATGCGGGCAGCGTGGGCACTGGAAGGGCGATAGCCAATGCCCCAATGTGCTGAGTGGCAAGGATCCCCCGCGCAAGAAGCCGGAGACGAGCTTGGCCCAGAGAAGTCAACTTCACCAACTTCACGTTCATGGTCGGTGCCGGGGACCCAGGTCAACTGCCTCCACCTGTTTGTCCTTCGTGTAAGCAGCCTGTCTCGGTGAACAGCAAGTTCTGTCAGGAGTGCGGAGAAAAGCTTCACTCTAAGCGGGGCTGGCTTGTTGTGGGGACGAGCCAAGACGGGAGCGTGGCCACGGATGAGGAGCAGCCACCTCGACCTATGCGCGACATCCGCGTCCCGAAGAGCGCTTTGGACAAGAGTTCGAAGTCGGAACGGGTCATGAAGGTGAAGGCGCTTGAGGTGCTGGCGGCCGTGGACAACTTCACGAAAGAGGACAAAAAGGCGCTGAAGCATCTCCTGCAGAAGGACGAGGACGACGAACGAGAGAGACAGCAGCTCCCCTTGACTTCCCGGCGTGGCGCTATGGCGGCGGCTTCTTCATCAACGACTCCTTTGTCCTTCGCCTCGGCAGCTTCTATGGATCCGCCGTATCCCCAGATGTCGTCCTCACTTGCGCCCGACTTGTGCAGCAGTGGCTGGACTTGTTGGAAAGTGACCTCGGTGTCAAGGTGATCGATGACCTGCCGGAGGCGAACGACACTGGCTCTGAGTTCTCCGACAGCACCTCGGCCAGGGAGAGCATAAGCAGCCACGAGTTTGGAGTACATCGTGGAGAGTTGGACAACGACAGCGAGGACGAGCTGGTCGCAGACGACGGCCAGGTGGCCCCCAACATGTCCATGGTGGTCGACCCTGACGACGAGGAGGAGCTTATCCCTGAGGACAAGCCAGCCAAGCTCTTCCGCAAGAACATGCGAAGGAAAGTACATGGCGTTCTCCGAGATGTGAAACATATGGCCCAGACAGCTTCTACTTGTTCGACCGCGGCCTCCTCGCCTCGGCCCACGACACTCCTTGCCAAACAGGAAGAGAGTGCGCCTTTGAGACCTCGCCGGCGCCCTGGACCGCTGCGGATTCTTGAAATCTTTACCTGGACGATGGCGGTGAGCTTTGCAGCCCACCAGCGTGGATGGGAAGTTGGGGAGCCGCTGACGTTGCCCAACTACAACCTTTTGGATCCCGGTGACCAGCGGAAGGCCTTTGAGTATGTGCGCGCCTTTGACCCTGACTTTATCATGGTGGCTTTTCCGTGCACTGTGTGGTCAGGCCTTCAGACTTTTGGATTCTGTTCCCAGGAGTACCTCGAACGTCTTGCTGCTCGACGGGAAGAGCAACGTGGTTTGCTTGGGTGGGTGCAGGATGTGGTTCTTGATCATCGTTCTCGAGGCGGTGCTGTGTTGGGCGAGAATCCTTTGACATCGAGGGCATGGAAGGAACCGGTGGTGGTTGACACCTGGGAAGGGCTCCCGAAACAGCGCACGGATATGTGTGCTTTTGGTCTGCGGCGGCCAGATGGTGAATGGAATCCTTCCGCTCATGGACTTTATCTTCGAAAGCCTACCTTGCTGGCTGGTCAGGAGGAAATCCTGAAACGTGCTTGCCGTGTTTGTCCTGGGAACCATCGCCATAGTCCTTGCCTTGGTGGTGCTCGTGTGGATGGACGATGGTGCAGCCTCTCTGACCTTGCAGGCGGCTACACAAAGAAGTTCGCCCAGGCTGTCGCGATAGGTGCAGAAGAATTCCTGGCGGGCCGCGGCTCCAAAAGGAAGCAAGTCAACTCCTTCTTGGCCACTCCGTTGTTGCCCGAGGAGGTCTTCATGGATGATCCTCTGGACTTTGCTAGTTCTCATGAGGTGGCTTGTCATGGGACTTGGGCGGGCCATTCGCATGGACAAGATTGCGATGACCATGAGGACATCGAGCACAATCACCAAACCACTACCGGACAAGGGGGCGACGAGGAACCAGTACCAGTAGAGCCGGCTGACTCTACCGACCAGGAGGACACCAAGCACAATCAGCAAACCACTACCGGACAAGGGGGCCTTTCAGAGACTGATAGAATGGAGCACCTCATGATGCTTCGCCGGCAACTTGGCCATCCAACTGCAGAGTCTCTGACACGGGTGCTCCAGCATGCAGGCGCGTCAGACGAGACCGTCAAGATGGCCCAACAGTTGCGGTGTCCAGCGTGCCAGTTGTCCAAACAACCAAAGAGGCCTCACCCTTCACGACCGGAAGTCCGAGCAGTCGTCTTCAACACTTGCGTCCACGCCGACCTCAAGTACCTCCACGACTACAAGCAAGGCGTTTACGTGGCCCTGTCTGTTGTTGACGAAGCGACCAACTACCACCAGGCCAAGTTGCTCAAGAACCGCAGCCCCAGTCATGTGGCAGCCAAGTTTATGTCAATGTGGGTCGCTCTTTTCGGACCTCCGCAAAGCATCCGCCTTGATCAAGGTGGCGAATGGGAATCCGACTTTATTCAACTCCTGGAAGGCCATAGTATCCATTCCGGATTCGTCGGATCGCGCAGCCCGTGGAGCAACGGCTACGCCGAAAGGCACGGCGCACTTTTGGGAGTTGCTGTGCAAGCCGCCGTGGAAGAAAAGCAACTCAGCGGCCGCATCCAGATGAAACTTGGCCTGGCAGCAGCATGCCAAGCTAAAAATTCAGTCGTCAGCCGAGGTGGTCATCAGTGCACACTTTCCTCTTTTCGGGAGACAAGCATGCTTCCCTGAGCTCCTCGACGACGACATCTGGACGCGCAAGAGCTTAGGTGTTGCCTTGTCCACGGAGGGCGAACTTCGCACCGCTGCTCGGATTTCACTCCTGAGGTCCGATGTGCTGGAGAAGATCAAGCGAGCTTTGAGAAGGGCACCTGCTGGCGAACGTCGCCAGTACACTCCGGGCGAACTGGTGTACTTTTGGAGCCCTGCGAAACCGCAGGACCGAAGATACAAGCGTGGAATGGGAGCTTGGAGAGGACCAGCCATTGTACTGGTCCCAGACGGTGCCGAACGCTACTTCGTTTCTTGGAGGGGCAGGTCCCTTCTAGTGTCTGGTGCCAACTTCAAGGGCGCCACCGTGGAGGACGCGAACCGCCAGCAGAGCTTGACCTCGCCAAGGGCTACGTCGACCTCACCGAAGACTCGGCCCCTCCCGAGGAACCGGAGGCACCCTTCTCTGCCGAGGCCCCCGGTCTGTCAGCAAAGCGACGAAGAGACGGGGCAGGGCGCAAGTTATCTGAAGCAAGGAAGATGATGTCTGGATTGAAGTCCGTCAAGAAAATTCTGAAAGGGCCTCTTGATCCAAGGATGCGTCGCTTCAGGTCAAGGATGCGCCCTCGACAACCTCAAGCCTCTGAAGAAGTGGATGCCAACCAAGGCGGAGATGATCCACCTCCTGAAGCTCCTGCCGAAGTGGGCGAACAGCCTGTCGAGGACGATGGTGGCCCATGGAACGAAGCACCTCCTGCAGCAGATCTACTACCTCCACCTGTTGAGTACGACAACTTGGACGACCTTCCTTTTCAGGCCAGACTGTGGCAGCAGAGGAAGCGGCAGCGTGAGGAGGAAGCAAGCGCAGAGGAGCAGTTGAAAAAGCTCCGGACAACCGAGTTTGCCAACTACGTCTTGACGGCCGTTTCGGAGGGAGAGCTCACTGGACAGGAGATGAAGGCGAACGAGTGGCTGCCCAGACGAGAGGTGGAGCAACTGGCTCAGCTTCTGGATGTTCCACTTTCTGCGGCCCGTGTTCACCGTCGGCCACGCAAGCGCCTACAGCACCCTGGACCTCAGGAGCCAAAGCCCGACTGACTGTGATGTACGGCCAGGACCCTAGCCAAGTTCTACTTGCTTGAGAGTCCCCTGGAGAAGTTGCTCAAAGACCACGACGACGTTGCCCCCACCTTTGGCGTGGGATCTCTTTCTTCCTGAAGCGAGACCACTCTCACCTTGCTAAGGGTGAAGTCAAGGCGGCTTGAGCTTTGCTAAAGAAGAAGGGCCAGAGTGACAAGGTGTACATTGCCAAGGAGAATGAGATCTTTGCGGTGAACCTCCCAAACCACGAGCTCTTTGAGGCGGCCAAGCAGGACATCGAGGAGAATGTTCTCTTCATGGAGGCCTTTATCCTGAAGATGAAGGCCAGTGGCAAGTGGCAAGGAGCTCGACCCCCGGGCCTTCTATCCTGAAGAGGTGGCAGCCTTTGACACCTCGGACGCCAAGGAATGGGCAGCTTGGATCGAGAACAAAGTCATTGAGCAGCTCGGGTCAGAAGAAGCCAAGAAGGTTCCTTCTTTGCGAGTCTTCAAGGTGCCGGCCAGGGTGGTGAGAACGAATAAGGCTCTACCTGGAGCTAAAGAGCTCATCGCCAAGAGCCGGATAGTACTTCCTGGGCATCTTGATCCCGACTGTGGGTCTCTTCGCGCAGATGCCCCGACCACGCAGATGACGGCTGTTCGAATGGCTATGATGATAGGCCTCATGAAGAAGTGGGCCTTCTGGCTGTTCGATGTCTCCACGGCTTTTCTTAGTGGCAAGGAAGTGAAGCGTGACTTGTACTGCCGCCCCCCTGGAGATCTCAAGTGTGCTCCTGCGGCGGTGCTGTGGCAAGAGCGCCTACGGCTTGAGTGAGGCACCCCGGTTGTGGTGCATTCAGGCAAAAGAGTTGCTCCAGCGCTGTGGCTTCGAAGAACTGGCTTTCGCTCCCGCAACCTTTGTGAAACGAGTTCGTCGCCTACAGACTCTGGTGGTGGTGGCGATCCTTTGCCTGCACGTTGATGACGGCTTCCTGGCGGTGGAGAGCGGCCGTTGTTCAGAAGAGACCCGACAGGCCATTGACGGCCTCTTCAAGATCAAGGAGTGGATCTCTGTTGGTGAGAAGGCTAGCTCCTACCTTGGGATGCAGATCTATATCAAGGACGGTGTGTTCTACAACGACATGAACGGCTACATCCTTGAGCTGAAGCCGGCCAAGATCCTTGGAGCAGTGAGCTTGAAGGAACTTCGGCGTTTGGTGGCGCAGCTTCGTTGGCCCGTCCACCTGGTGCTGCCTGAGTTCCTCTTCTAGGTGAGCTCCTTGGCGCAGAAGGTCGGCAACCCGAAGGTGAAGGACCTTCTGGCGGCGAACGAGCTCCTTGTACAAGTGCAGACCGTGGCCCGACAAGGCTTGGCTCTTCTAAAGTTTCAAGGACTTCGTGGAGAGCCACTCTTGGTTAGCTACTTTGACGCTTCCCTCGGCAAGGCCTCGGAAACAGCAGCTCAACGTGGCGAGGTGCACTTCATCACGGACAAGGACGTTCTCTCTGGCAATGGTCGAGGGAATATCCTCGAGTACCACTCCAACAAGATCGCTCGAGTGGTCCGAAGCTCGATGGCGGCAGAATGTTGCTCGATGGCAGCTGCATCGGACCGCCTGGTTTACAACTTGAAGCTCTTCGAAGCACTCCTCTTTGGCAAGCTCGAAGTGCCTGCGACTTGGCGAACGGAGCTTCGAGTGAAGGGGCATCTCGTCAGTGATGCCAAGAGCTTGTTTGACCACGTGAATGGCTCTGGGCAACTTGCGACCAGGTGTCTTTGGATATACTTGCCGTTCGACAAGCAGTACAAGAGAAACTCTTGCACCTGCATTGGGTGCCGACCTGGCGCCAATTCGCAGACTCCTTGACCAAGGCGATGCTCGATGAGCTGTTTGGCAAGTTCAGAAAGACTGGTCTCCTAAACGTTGTACAAGCACCTGCTGACGAAGTGGAAGAAACCCGAAGGGCGACACTTCGCAAAGCACAGAGAGTGCGAAGGAAGCTTCGTATGAGGCAATCCTGGGCACGAACACGTTTCTTTTGGGATGTCATGAGCATCCGCTTGTGCACAGGATTGGCAACCAATGCCGCAGCATCGATGCTCAGCTTGCTGCAACTGAAAAGGCTTCAGCGAGGCCTGCCCCTGCTTTGCTTGCGTGCAACCTGTGAGGGTTTTAGCTTTCAATATACTGAACCAGAGCGCTGCGTCGATGCACGGTAGCTGATGAGCCTCCAGCTTCAGCCCATGCCGACGACGAATGGACAATCGAGGATGCACTGATGCAAAGCCAGCTTGGACCCCTGCCCTGTGTCCTCCCCCAAGAGTCAACGCGGCAAAAACCACAGCGCATCCTGGCGCTAATGGGCCGTCTAGAAGTTTCGGGATCCAGCAAAAACACTGCAGACTAGCCGCAACGAGTTCCAGGACCGTAGCGTAGCGCAAAGCTCCGAGCTGGCAACAGCATCGCCTCAATTGTGTCTCAACTGGTCTAGAAATATGCAATAGCACGCATGTGCTTGGCGCTGCAGCACTGAGAGTAAACCTGAACCCCAGACACAGCTTGCGCACGTCTTTGATCCATTTTCCGGGGCCCGGCCGGAAAAAATGCAACACCGTGAGCGGAAGTGCGTCGATGCTTGTAGAGTCTTCTCTTCGCTGCCTGGGCATCTGGGCCCAGGCAGAGCGGCCGCGCTTACCCTGACTTTTACAATACCTGCAGTGTTGGGCTTCTTGGGACTTCGGTTTTTTTTCACGGATATGATAGAATCTGGGCTCCTCCCCAGGAAAAGCCAGCCAAGGTGACAACCCCATGGTTGCAAGGTAGAATTGGGGAGGATTTCCATTTCCTCAGGCCATCCAACACGCCCGCAGAGGTTAGCGGACGCAGCAGGTTCAAGTAATGTGCGCCAGGATGAACTTGACTGCCCGATCTGCATGTGCACCATCGAGACAACCGATTGTCACGTCACCAGCTGCGGCCACCTATTCTGCAACCCTGGCGCAAACAGCCAGACCATTAGGGCCATGGTTCAAAGGAGGCTGATGCAGTTTGCTTTGCCTGGTTTGCAGGCAAAGAATGCATCACCAGTGCCTCAGCTTTGAAATGCTGGCTTGCTTGACCGCAAGTGAGAGCCTGAAAGTGCCCAGGCTGGGTGAAACAGCGGGGCAAATGCGCGATGTGCAACGCGGCGCTGCAACTACCTGGCGGCGTGACATCTGCGGAAGATGTGATCTCTCGCCAGAAGGCTCGGAGCATGTGGGAGCCTCATGCATTCCTCTAAATTCTGAAGCGTTCGCCAAGCAGGAAGCTACCACCAAGGGACGCATCGCGCGCTTCGGCTCCAAAATCGAGGTGCTGGATTGGATGCCTGCCATTCAGCTTTTGCAGTTGTGCAAGATATTGAAGCAGCTCACGAAAACCTTCTAAAAGTGGACCTTGTCTGGCAGGCTGTGTGCACCCAGCTCAACAGCATTTGGAGCGGCGAACCTGGCGCAAAGGTGATCATCTTTGTTCAATTTGAGGTCTTGCTGAAGAGTCTCGCTTCAACGGATTGGTTTAGTGGCTTGAAGTTTTAAGCAGGACCACACAACAATTATTACCACAGACCTGTCACATGCCAATCTGAATGAGCTTGGATGGTCGACGAATTCAGTCAACTAATTTGGAGATTGTGTAGGGATTATCAGGTCACACGTGAGGTTGACGCAGTTCTGGATTCTGCTTGTTTGAGTGTTCTCGCCGTGGGTTGTGTTTGGACGGAGTGCGGAAAGATAACCTACACCTGAGCCTGTATCTGGGCATCGGATCTCGTAGCGTAGTTCTCCATGTTGCTTGCAGAAGCTATGCAGCTATGGTACCTTCAAGGAAGATGGAGCATGCCCTCGCAGAGCTGGATCTACCCTGCCTGACCTTAAGAGGGACCGTCTTCGAGCGGCGGAGAGTGATTCGGCGCTTCCATGCCGAAGGGATACTTGGACATGACACAGTTGGATCTTTAGGGATACAGTTACAGCTTTTGGTTGTATTGTTGTTCAGCACTCGCACAATGTGAGGCAAGAGAACCAAATCCTGCTGCTTTCACTGGAGCGAAGTCCATCTGGCATGAACCTGGTCTGCCAGAGGCTTAATTGCAGGATGCAAATCCGTCCTATCTCCTGAGCACAATAGCTCAGGCTGCCACCACTTGCTCCTCGGTCTTTCAAGACTTGCTCACAAAGTCCACAAGTGAATGTCTTGGTATTCTTGGATAGTCTGCAGCTTCACAGGTCATGTCTTAGATTCTTGAGATAGGGAAGGTTGTCGGGGGCTGATCCATGTTGATCCCGAGCCTTTGTGTCGTGGTCTCACCAGATGGGGACTGAACTCAAAGCCATCCTAAAAACATGCTTTGATCTTGTCAGGCTCCTGGTGCACCCTATGGCTGCAGAAACTCGTGATGCTGCCTTGAGCTTCGAGCGCCAGGCTGCTGGCCGCAAGCAAATGCCGCCTTTTTTGGGACCCTTTTGAGCTTCATGCTGCGTCATGTGCACGTGAGTTCTGTGGCAAAGACAATTTGAACAGTCTGATTGCTCAGGCAATCGGCCGGGTACGACGCCAGGGCCAGAAGAACAATGTTCATGTGCCACTCGGCCTGGTGCATTCCGTCCTGTCGCCCAATGTGACAGAAAGAGATTGCAAAGAGATGTTTTGATTGTGAGCTTCAGGTATCGGTTCTTCGTGCGTGAAACGATGGAGGAAGGGCTGCATACTTGTTGGCCTGGCATTTTTCAGTGAAGACAATTTCAACCAGGAGGAGATGGTGCGTAAGCACCACGAGGAGTTGCTTCATGGCAAAGAGGCGGCAGCCAGCAGTGAGATGCCGAGGCGAGGCGGCAATAAAGCTGCAAAAAAACTCTACATCGCCAAAACTCTGTTTGGCTTCTTGTGAGCTTCTTTGTGTGCAGGGCTGACACACAAGCTTCCTGACTGCCGATGGTTGCGACCTTCGGGCGGAACTCGGAAGTTCTGCACCTGGGCAGTGATGATGGGCTTTGATGCAGGAATGTAGGTCGCCTAGGGCCTAGGACAGCGGTGCGGAATTGGAGCTTCCATCGTGGCATGGCCTGGAGTCTAGAGTTGCTTGAGACAATGAAATTGATATTGTGACAGACGGGAACCCCTCCTGCCTCCACTTCCCCTCGTGCCTTTTCCTCGCAGGTCAGTTTTGAATGTTTTGAGATCTCCGCCATGAACCATTCTCTGGTCATGTTATCAGAACTCCCAAAGCCTCCCTGGTGCTAACAGATTCCTGCAAAGGGTTCCTATTGCCTCCCGCATCAAGCATTTATCGTCCATATAGCCATTTGTCCTTGCCGTCAACCTCACCATCAGCACCGCATCTGATTGCCTTGAGTTACTTCAAACGGTCTGTCAGCACTTCTTCTTCTTCGCTACATGCGTCTCACAATCGTACACCCACGCGTCGGCAATTGATTGTCATAGCAGCCGCCATTTGAGCTTTGTCGGCATTTTGTATCACGCTCACTTCGTTTAAGATTAACTCTAATGTACAATTCAAAATCATCCCCATCATCGTCGCAGTGGCGGCATCATCGTGATCGTTTTTCCAGCGGCCACTACCTTGCCTGAACTTTCACAGTTCCGACTGCCTTGACATTGGCTCTTGCAGCGTCTGCCCCTCAAATTTTCCGCTCTACTTCCTCGCGCTTAATGCAGGTTGGGGACAGGTCTCACCAGCCAATGGAACATCATGGAACCTAAGGAGCCTGACAGACTACATCGGGCTCGCCCTCCGCTCTAGACGAGGTCAAATTGAGTACCTGCAGACCATGCAATTGCTCTAGCCAGTCAGGAGGTACCTTGGTACTCCGCGAATAGCAGCGCTTTGCGCTCAGCTGCCCAAGGTGGCAGCACGCCAGCTCGGTTAATGTCGGCAAGTTGGGGTGTCAGGAGAACGCAGCCTTTGGACACTTGTGCTCTTAGCCAAATTTAGCCAATAGTACCTTGCATGATGTTTGCAGCAAACACCCCGGCGAGCCTTGGTGGGGGTAAGGGGCCTGCTGCCAACCGCAGCAGTTCGGTAAATGCTTGCATGTGCATGCTCAGAGACGGGCACATTTCTGCAAAAACTACATAACATCTCGTTTCAAGCTATGTGATGGTCTCTGTCCTCTTGCATGCCTTTACCATACCTGACGAGTAGCATTGTCGATCTTGTCATAGTGAGTGCAACTCGCAGTTTGAGTCGAAGGCATTTTCCTTTAGTTCGCCTTCGATTCAATCACTGTGCAGCTAGCTTTGACTTGGGCTGACACGGGGCAGCACAGAAACAAGCGTGAGTGAAGGGGCGGCTGCGGTGTGAAGTTGAAAATTGGTTTAAGGGCTGAAGGTTAGCTTGGAGAATGATTGACAGGTTACACAGGGGCTTGGCATGTTGGGCACGTCACATGGAGAAGCGACAGGGAGCACTGAGAAGTAAGGAGCAGGTTCAATCCGAGCATCCTGCTTTGGTCTACAGGTGGCCTTGCAATCCTTGACGAGTCCGATCGAAGCTCAAGCAGGGGATCTCGCCTCAGCAAGCCATGCATTGACCACGTATGGCTTGGCCAATAAAAGTCGGAGCTGATGTCCCACCTGCAGTCTATTTGTTAGAACCGAAGCTACGGCACCTGTCTGAGGTTTTGCAGCTCTATGCAGAGCCAGTACGCCCATCCCTTCTTCAGAGGTATCCAAGGCAGGTCTGTTGAAGCCCCCTCGACTGGCCTGTCTTAAGCCACTGCAGGACCACTCCAGCAGAGCTTGCTCAAAGCCTCGCTCGGCTACTGAGGCCTTTGCTGCTTTGAGAATCATTGTTACAAGAGTGCTCAGAGAAGATGCAATGCACGTGTCGCAGGGACTTGGAGCAGACAGAGACTCAGGCTGCAGCAGGGATCGGCAGGGCATGGGGCAGTTCATGCAGCTTTTGGTCATGCTGGTATATGCTGGCAAGCATGTAGCTAGTATCCAGCAGCTGTTGGCTTCTCGTGTTTCGTGTATAGGCCTGTGTAGCCTGCACAGGACCTGTGCCTTTGTCCCGACAGGCGCATCGTGAGGCATTGGTGGCCTTCGCTCGGTTCTCAGTCCCCAGTTCTGTTTGGGGTATGAGGTTTACACATGCAAGTTTCTCGATCCAGAGTCCAGATCACTTGATGAGCCAGTACCTGCTTCAAGGTCTTCACTCAGCTGTGCTTCTACACGCCTGCAAAGGTGGCAATGGAGGCCAGAGTGTTTTTCATCTCGGTAGCCTTCGTCTTTGCCAATCATCATCGCGCTGCAGGCATCAGCCAGCGCATTCTCTGCCAGAATCGGGGTTGACACAGTGCAGCTTCAAGCTTTGCAGGACCGACACTTGCAGTTCTCAGGCTCATCTGAAGTGTTTGAGCCACTCTACCCTGGAGGATGTGCTGCCCAACCATGCGGGGGGTCTCTTTGACGAAGCAGTCCCTACGCAGACTTCACAAGTGAGCGCCCACTGCCAGGCCCCTGGGTTTTGGTCGTGACAGGCCCTGTTTAAAGTCTTGCTTCGCTTGTCTCCCTCCCTGTGGTTTGACCCCCAGATCTGCTCCAACTACACGATTATGCAGTAGATGTATGCAGATGTTATGATCCCTGCAAGGGCCAACCCTGAACTTGCCTTTGTTTGCGCACGCTGACCGTCCAGCACGATTGCTGCATGTTTGTTTGCATTCTAGAAGTAGGGTCTTGCGATCTCCATGGCTGCAATGAAATTGCCGCTTCTTGAGTCATTGCAAGAGGGCATATCTCACAGGAGCCGGAGGTGGCCCTCCCAACCCTTTGCATCCTTTGCAGCTGCGACGACAAGTTCAACCCAGTCATCGCAGCCAGTATGTTGAACGAATTCGCGGTTGAACCAAACACGGCCACATCACATCACGGGCACCTCTAATCTGACAGAGGTTGCGAGCTTAGAGGAAGCATGTGTCTGAAAGTTCATGGTGTCCACCAAGTTAGCAATGTTGTGCACAGCCAGGACTTCTCATGCTGGCAATGGGAAAATCCCCAACGCAAAAGCTGAAATCCAAGTCCATCCCTCCAATATCCTCCACTCCAACTGCTGTTCAAGTGATGGTTTTGAACTCGTGTTGTACTGTTCGGTGGGGGTAATCTTCTTCACAATTATGTCAACTCCTTGGCGAGCTTCATGGTGGGGCATGGAGGAATGTTTAACACCTGTGAGAAGGATAAACCGATTCTAAACTATCGGAGTCCCCAGCTTTTCCAAGGCCGAGTCTCGGTACACGAGGGCTCGCTGCTGCTTGAAGCGACGCTTGCAAGCAAGGCTGCAGGGTCTGAGAAACTGCATGGGGTATCATGGGGCCTGAAGATAAAAGGAAGGCTTGCGAGCTGCAGTTGGCGGTCTGCACTTTTTTTGCGATGGGCTGTCAGCAAGACCGGTTCGCCTTACCTGTGATGCCAGATGAACCCTGCCAGTTAGCAAAGACCGTTGCAAACAGGGTCGCCTTGGATGGGCTCCCATGCAAAAAGACCTATCTACTACTGCCAAGTTGCGCAGAACAAAGATTTTATAGAAGAGCGAACATGTCAGATCTGACTCCTTGCTGTCTACCGATTGGCGCAGGTCTTCTCCTTCCTCTGTTTGGGCGGCTCCTGGACGGGGCCCTTGAGAAAGTTTTGTTTAGTCCTCATGCTTGGCTGTTGGCCTAAAGCCAAGTCCCGTGGAAGTTCCTTCTCAATCATTCAATGGAGGCTTGTTGTTGCCCGCTGCAGGATGCTCTGGGCCAATGCGTTAGACGGGGTGGCTGGCTTCTGAGTTGGAACGCAAGCTTGACAGTTTGGGCGCGTATTGAATGCTGAATCCTAGCAGGCTTTGACCGACTGCAACCAGGCCACCATCTCAGCAAAATTGGATGCATCCAGGATGGAAGAGTCTAGGCACATTGTCCACTCAGCCTTGAATCCAGCTTCACGGCAGCACGGCAGGTTCGGCCATATTTCGGGATGATTGGCTGACTCCCCAAAGTTTGGGAAATGTAGCTTTTGCACAGCTCAGCAGCAAGAAATTAATGGTACATCCTTGTAATTGAAGCGTATGGTAGACATGAAAGGAATTGACAAAACACAAGCACGTAGTACCGATGCGATTTTAGTGCCTCCTGATGGAGCAGCCGAGATCGGCTTCAAAGTGCCATAATGGCCAGCCAGAAGCGCAACACGCGCATCAGGCGCATGGCTGAAAAGTTGCATGTAAGCGTTGAAGCTTGGCTTCGCGGTGACGTTCCCATCTGCATCCACTCCCAAGCGTTGCTGCTGCCGCATTTGGCCCAAGTCTTCTGTGTGCCTAGAGCATTCTCTCCGGTGGCAGGCGCCTTTTTTCAATGCCGATGCCACCGGTGCCGTCAAACGACGGGGATGCACCTCTGGAGACTTGCATGCAATGAGGCATGATCTCATTGAAGATGCAAGGTTTCCTTGCGATGGCCGAGTTTGGGTGTTGGATGGTGTTTTAAGCACACTGGGCAGAAGCCTGACATGACACCGGCGTGGGCCGGTCTTGTTTCTTGCCCTTGACCCTGCCGCTCAATTAGTTATTGTAGCCGGACATTGGATCCACCACCCTGGCCCTCTTGAGGGATGGTACTCCACAACATGACATCTCCCGAAGCATTTATGTAAATGACACGTGAATGCTAAGTCTAGCAAAAAGCAGCTTGGCAAACGGTGTCAACAGTACAGCATGCGTATCGACTTTGCAGCCACAGCATGCAAACAATAATCCACCACTTCACTTCCTTCAGAGTCTTTAGTGATGAGGCTGCAGCTGCAGCATCGGGTTCGGGCGATGTGAGCCCTTTCAAGAGCACGGTCAAGCTCAGGACCCAAGGTTTTTTCAGTGGCTTTTTGATGTTGCTAAGTGCTGTGGCCCTGCGTGGGGATGATGCACGACGCTCATTCAGATCCCTCTGCAAGCGCCGGTATAAGCTTTGCAGCAAGGCTTCTGTCAAGGAATCCAGTCACCAAAGTTACGCCTGCAGGACTGAAGAAGGTCAACTCATTCAGATTGATTCCTTGGAGATGCCAGTGGGCGTCAAGAAAGTCCTGCACGAGCTTGATCTCGACTCAACAGGCCGGAAGCTCCATCGAAAGACATACTCAAGATATGGAATGAAATCAGTTTGTCTGCGGAAGCTTACGACATGATAGTATCGCCCAATGCCAAGTCATGATGCTTTGTGACCTTCACTGGTGATCATACGGAAACGTTTGGAGTCCTGATGTTGTACCATTATTCGATCAGGAATAGTTGATGAAAAGAACCTGGAAGACTCGCTGAGGTGCTTAGCTCAGTTTCACATCCGGCGGCATGGTCTTTGGGAAGTGAGTGTGACAGATACTGCCTGCTACGTGCTGCTTTTCCGCTGAGGGTTCTGAAGCATCTCAAGAATGGCATGGACACAGATGGAAGTGGACATGTCAGCAATGCAGAGACTCAGCAAAAGCAGCTCTTGTGGTGTTTGGAACCCGCGTGAAGGTGCTATGGCCTTAGGGGGGGAGATGGGATGTCACAGAAGAAAGCAATGGTAGTCTCATGATCGTGCATGAGAGGCTAGCGGCTAGTGCATGTGCTAGGATTCTTCTGCCATAAATCGAGCATCTTTTCTATTGCCGGAACGTGTGCCTGTATTTGACCGAGTGGCAGTCACAAAGGAGATGGAGGAGGGAGTGGCGCTGCTGACGAAATTGATGTCCCTTGCCTGCAGCCTACGGATCTAACAGCACGGTACTCGTGGCACGCAATCGGAGCTCTCTTTGCAGGAAGGAGAAGTCGCTGAACTCTTCAGAGATGCCGTACAAGCACCTTCCAGCCTGCATCCAGGACCTGTATCGTTCCAGAGCTGCTGAAATCTTGAACCCAGATTGCATGCCTCAAGATCCTGAAGTGTGTGACGTAGGGTTGCAGAGGGTCAGGCTTGCATCTCGCGTCCAACTGCATGATTTTACAGGAAGTGATGCGCGAATGGGATGCTGATGGGAGTGGTATGGTGGGTGCTCTGCTGAGACTCACTGACCACCGCCCACTGCCTCTGTCATGATGCATGGCCAGTATGAAGCACATCACTTGTCGCGCCTCTGCAGTTATCCGGGCTCAGGAAGAGGGACTCACCTTGTTTTTTCCGCAAGCCCAGCATACCCTCAAGCACCCAGGATGTGTACCACTGCGAAATATTGCTAAAGGCGAAGGGCCACAGCAGCAGTGCTGTCCGTTACGTGAGTGCATGCGGATGCAGCTGTGCTGGGATCATCGTCCGCTGACTTTGCAAGTCCTTCTTCTGCCTGTCCCTGTCGACAAGGGCACAAACGTCAAGCCCTTGCTGTGCAAGAACCTAGACCAAGAGTCTCCTCTACTTGAACACCAGGGGCTGGCCGTCAGGTTTTGCACGGCTCTCTGAGCCTTGACGCGGCGCTCTTGAGCTCTTGAGGAGCTTACAGAGCCTACAGAGATCTACAGACTTGAGCGGCTGCCTCAAAGGCAATGTAATCCGAGAATTGGGCCACCAGGCAACGCGAAAGGGATGCCACCACCTCTGAAGACAACGTCTCGCCGTCACGCCGATGTGTTCAGAAATCATTGCTGGGTCACTGTTTGCCTTGATTGCAGCTTTACCTGAAAGAGCTAGGTGGGGCCTTGGCTGACAAGATGTGTCCTGAGGTGTGTCTGAGCTATCCGCCGCGGCTCACGCATACAAGAAGGCCTGGCAGCCGCAGATTTCCTTGAGAATCCATGCTTGGTAGAAGGCTGTATGTAGATGCGTTTTTGGCCGTCCAGGTGCAGCAGGAGGGCCGCATGATGAGAAAGATTATCGCAGGAACCGTGCCTGCATTTGAGTGGACGTGCCCGGGTATCAGTACATGTTCTGTCCATGCAGCCGTTTTGTGTGGTTGGGATATGGAGGCGACATGCTTTCTGCAATGACCAGGGCTACTCAAGTGCGGGTTTGCTTGCAATATATGGTGAGCATTGTCCAAGTCAATGCCGAGGAATGGCTCTGGTCATACTCCTGTTGATGTGTGGCATGTTCGCACTGTCGTGGGCTGCTGCGGAGTTGGCAAAGGAAGCTTCTGGATTTGTGTGATATTTTGGGCTTTGGGTAGTTCCTGATCTGATGAGATGCTGCCCTGATCCGATTACAGGAGATGACGGGTAATGACGACGCTGTTATGGCAAATAAGCAAGGCGTGGTTGTCAAGGCAGGGTCGAGCAAAGCTCAGTGCATCCTGAGTCTGACAGCTTGGCATTGAGGTGTCGAGTTCGGATTTCGAGATGTCTCCCGACGGAACTCTGATCATTCGCGGAGCTGGGGAAGTCAACGTGCCTGGAACCGCAAAGCGCTGAACTTGGGCTGAAGTTAACTTTGCCTGAAGCCAAGGCTACCTGCCCAGCAAACCAGACTTGCCGGCGTTTGGAAGCTGCTTCAAGCAAGCTCCAAGTTGCTGCCTCCGAGACGCCGCGCCGCTTGCGCTTGCCCCAGTTTGGACTTGTTTGTGAACAGGTTGGCCCATGCTAGATCCCAACTGCTCAGGTCGTCCACCCTTCCAGATGCTTCCTTCAAAGAGCTGTAGCCCGTCTCAAATTATGTGAGCAGACAGCTCTGTGGAACAACATGGGCATGTTGCAATCCTTATTGCTGAGGAAATCTCTGACCTTGAAGGACAACTCTGGCCGGGCCTTGAAGGTAGGGACTGCAAATTGCACACTTTCGAATTGTTGCCAGTGTCGTGCAGTCTCGCTCTGAAAAAACCACTGGCGCTGGCACACCTTCCAGGTCACCATCACCAGCTTCCAACGGCTATATCTGCGCTCCTCCAAGTGCGGATCAGTGATCCATTTGAGCGGTGACCATGGTCGTTTGACCCTGGATGATTACGCCCAGGGCTCAGCAGGGTGGCAAGTGCCAAAGTTCCGCTGTTTGGCTGTACCTGCATGCCCTGCAGTGTGGCGCATCCTGCTAGGACATGACTGCAGATGAGCAAATGGAGGCGGCTTTGTTGCTTCGTGCATGCGGCTTTTGAATGCTCTTGAGCTTGTCGAGGCCTACGTTAAGGACGCAGGCATGGAAGGCCTTTTCGAGGACGTGACTGCCAGTCGTGTTCAGATGTTCTTAGGCTTCTGAGCAGCTTAACTTGACGATGCCAGAAGGACGGTCCCATCTCTGGGTTTGGGCGTCGCCTGAGCTCTACGGATGGTCTTCTGGAGGGCTTCTTCAACATGAGCACCGGCTGCATCTGTAAACGACAAGCAGCTTTGTGATATTGCGTCTTCACAAAACCAATGCCAAGGCTTGAGGGCATCGAGTGGGAATGCGAGTCTGTTGAGCTGCCAAACCCCAATGACATGCCGCAGTTTTACTATGCCGCCTGACTACAATGTCTGGCGCAGGTGGGGTTCATGTGCTCCTGCAACCAAATCCTAGTCAGGCGAAGATGCACGTAAAGCATCTGCATGGCCAGCCTGAGCGAGCTGCTTGGCCGCTACTGAAATACTGTCCAACAGCAAACCACTGCAGACTGTGCAGACTGTAGGCCTGTCCGCTTGCATTTGCATGATTCAAGCTGAGGGATATTCACAGTTCTTCACTGATGCAGCCGCTTTCTCAGCAAGTTCTCTTCAAGGATGTTGAACGCTTTTTATTGTTTTGCCCAGTTTTGTATGGATGTGCTTGAGAACGTGCAGATTAACGTGCTCTGCTAGTAATTTGCAGGTCGAATTCGAACCCATGGCATCCCATGGCTAATTGCCTGGCAACCAAGGAAGGAGGCTTCCTCACAGTTCCGGGTGTCATCGTGGAAGATGGTAAAGTCTACAAGACTTGGACCGCACTCTCTGTTTCAGATGCAAGCTTTCCCGCAGTTTTGATTGGTACGCCGTGCAGCAGCCGGGTTCTGTGACCTGTGGATGTCAGCAGTTTAGGAGTTGAGATGTTGCTACAAGACAACAGTAAAACCAAACCCCCTTGCAGGACAGAGGAGCTGGTAAAATCAGCTTCTCTCACTGCCTACATGAGATGCTTGCTTGCATGTTAAGTCTGTCCCCAAAGACTTCGGCAGAGAGGCCCCCAGACAGTAAGTAGGCTTACTTGATTGATGCCTGAACAGCATCGCTTTGATGAGATGAGACCCACAAGAAGTCAGGTCATTACGCGATGCATCCCTTTCAGCGTGAACTGCGCCTGAAGAGGACGGGCGATCCGATCATCCAGGCACCATTTTGGAAACAGCCAAACAGAAAAAGCTAAATTTCATTCCGTTGCCCAGACCGTGCTTCTGAAGGCCAAGATTGAAGCCAAGGGCAAGGTTGGCTACCGCTGCCTAGTGGAGACTCCACAGAAAGCAACGTGGCTTAGCTGAACACACTATCCATTGCTCCTCTGCAAAGAGCATTTCTGTACTCGTAGCCCGCACATCTTGTCAAGCGCAGGATTTCGTCAGCTGCTGAAAACGCTCTGCCGAGCCTGGAATTCCGTGGCGTGGTTGTTGAGAACGGCACGGTGCTGCGCCATTGGAGGTCCGCAACTGTCCTGGTGGCCCTGTTGACGTCAGCGTTGCCAGGATGGATCCTATGGGAGATCTGGAGCGTGCGGGAAACATGGATGCCAATCGGTGCAAACATCCATAGGTTATTTGCGGTGGTCATGTGCTGCCTCATTGTCCTCATGTTTTTAAGGCATGCAACCATCAGCCAGGGGCCTTCTGACACTGACATGAGCTACCAATAAGGCGCATGAGATGCAAGTGGCAATGATGGAAGCTGGATTGATCCCAAACGTGGTGGACTACTTTGATGTTGACACGGATCCATCAGGAAAATTCGCTCCTCAGCTGCAAACGGGTTCACTTTTTGCTGTTCCTGGAAGACATGGTGCTGAGGAGTCAGGCCAACCGTACCGCGTCCGAATGTACTCAACCGCAGCTTGTCCGATGATTTGCTGCTCATGGTATAGCATACGCGAACATGGCAATTGTTGGTTGCGCGCTTTGAGAAGTCTCCATGAGCACCCTGAGGTCTCCGGTTCGAAGGTCGACACCACAAAACAGTTTCTTGGATTGTATGGTATGGATTGTCAAATCTACTCTGGCTTGGACGTCGAAGCCAACACAGGACAAATATCACCCCTAATGTCTCATGACTGCTCTACCGAGGTACGTCGAGATTGTTTCCTTACCTTCCGCTTTCGAGATTCCCGGGACCCTTGCTGATATGTTGAATCATCATGATCAACTTCAGGGGCTGATGTGAGTCATGCGTTTCAAGTATGGATCAATATCTTAGGAGATCCTAACAGTGGTTGTTCTTGATGCATACTCAGGGGCCGGGGTCAGAGCATGTTTTTTTGATTGTTTTTGCTGATTCGGCAGCTTATCTATGGCAACATGGCACAGTTGTTTCTGAATGCAATCAAATACCAGCAGCATTTGCAAGCTGCTTATCATTCTTCATGTCGCTGCAAGCCAAGAATGTTTGAATACTTCAACGTGTCGTTCCTGGACGACGAGTCTTTGCTGTCAACTGGCGCCTTCAGGGTTAGAATAATCTCCATGCTGATGGCGGAGAGTGTGGGCCCAATCACGGGTGCAAGAAACTAAGTTTTGTTGCTCGTGCACAGCTTCAGGCTCTAAAAGCACAGAATCCAACTGCTTGGCTTGAACGGAGGTGAACCGTGGCTGCTTGTTGTACTCGGAAGGGACCAGTCCTTAGGTCCCCAAATGACCCGAACGGAGCGGCCGCGACAAGACCAACAGCAGGAACTTCTGCCCCTGAACTCACAGAGCGTGGCAACAACGTGAGCAGGCTCCGGCTTTCATCTCTTATCAAGCTTTGAAACTGTTGAAAGGAACCAGCATAGCCTGTAGCACCACCACTTGCCATTCATAGTTATTTGACACAAACCTACGACCAATGTCAACAACGCAAACCATCATCTGAGCAATGTCTAGCATTCTTTACGGAGCTAAGCGCATCGCGTCCAGAGGCTGAAGGGAATTTGAGGCCCATCTAAGATTCGGAATTGTTGCATGACCTGCGCATTGCTCTATACACGTATACATTGCTTGTTGGCGGACAGTATTTTCATAGTTCCAGAGGTTCAAGGAGGACTGAAAGGCACTCAGGTCCATCTTCGGCACTCGTCTTCAATTCGTGCCAAGGGTCACAGATGCTGTAGGAGCCTCCTGCACCAGCACTGCGCCAGTTTCCGAGGCCTCTCACAACAATTAAGGAGTTCAGGATGATGATTCATGATGACATTTTAAGTCTTGCGGCAAAACAATGCACAAACAGCTCAACATCGACAGCAGACGTACAGTACATCCTATACCGCGCCTGCACAAAAACTCTACATACCAAAATGGTGTGTTCTGACGGCTTGTTGGAGGTTTGTGTGTTAAATCTGCAGTTTCCGCTTGTATCTGTATTCTAAGGGATGCCGATTTTCCAGAGAGCTGCAGCAGATGGTGAATCAATCCAACATGAGCAATGTGACCGCGGCAGCGTCAATGCTCCTCGAAGAGGCGGGATGATTCTTTCTCGTCTGTATCAAGTGGAACGATGGTTATCCTATCAGGTCGAGATGCTGAACAGGACGAATCGGTCCTCCACCGATGAGAACTTCAAGGTTCCACCGGACTCGGACTCAGTCATAGCTAGTGCCCAGGCACAGTTGCCAGCATCCCACAGCTACTCCTGCATGTTGTCATGTGCCAATGTGTGCAAGGAGATCTACCCCTGGTCTGAGTTCCCAAACACGATTGCCTGGACGTTTGACGAACTGAAGCGGCAGCACATCTGAAGCTAGCATGCTCAGCTGCAACACCGTTGGACGACTGTGTGACACGTCTGCTCCAGATTTGCTTAAAGGGGAATTGCAGAGCAGCAGCGGTTGTCCAGTTCAGGCAAGCTGCTGCGGGACAGATCCACGATGAAGCCTTGTCTTTTGCCAGGCAATGTGCACAGCTGCTTACAGAATATGCTGATATTTTAGACAGCTCCGTTTGTACTAGGCAGTGCTGCTACATATGAATTAGTGGATGGTAAAGTGCGCATGTGCCTATGCATGACAGCTGCACTGCAGGACCAGCAAATACTGGGATGCTATTTTCACGGTGCGTTCAAACCAGGTGCGGTCTGTCAAAAAGAGAGAGAGAGAGAGAGAGAGAGTATGAAATCCGCTGCCCAGCCCGTGTTGGGCTGGCAGCGAAGCCCGGGGGCAGGTTCACCCTGCTCCCATAGCCCGAACGAAAGAAAGAAAGAAAGTATGAAATCCGTAGCCATTTTGGCTCAAGTCTCTGCCGTCTCCTCCTCTGCAAGGGGGGGGCGCCTTTCAGCCGGCCCTGCGCCTAGGGGGAGCGTGGTCTCTCCTTGGGGTGGGGGTGGACGTGCGGTGGGCGGGGAGGCTTGGCCAAATCCATGTAGCCGTTTGAAAGACAAACCCTCAGGTTGCGCGCCCCTCTCCGGGAGTACAGAAGCACCAAAGTTTTTTCCTCTGTTCGGGTCGGTGAGCTCAGAGGGGTTGTTGAGGTGTGCAGTGTGGATGGTTGAATTTGTAAGCCCCTCCCGTTTGCGAGTCTGACTCCATCACTCATCAGTCCCCTTCATAGGCTGAAGGCCTACTGAGAACTTTTTCGTGGACTTCACTCGCCAAACCTACTTCTGTTTTTCGAGGTCGAAGTATTGGTTGAAGCAGTTTCAGCGCAGGACAGAAATTCGATGCAAGCCAAGGACAACACCAACTGCTACATACTTTGACCAATTTGGGCGCCACGTGCGCAAATTTGATGCAAGGAGGGCAATGCCAACTGCTACATACTGCGACCATTCTGGGCGCCATGTGCGCAAATTTGATGCAAGGAAGACCTCATACCGAGACCCAACCCGACTATTTTGGGCGCTGCACGCGCAAATTTGGTGCAAGCTAAGTGACGCAAACGAGACCTACCGAGACCTTTTTGGACTCACGAGAGGAAGGTGAACTGAGTGACAGTGAATCCAGCTGAGCCGTGCTTGGGTATAGCGTGGAACGCATGCCCGAAGGGACACCCTTTCCGAGGGAGCAAGGGGCGCCGAGCGAGGGTGCACGACGCCAAAACCGCCGGGGCACCTGTGTGTGTTTGTCTTTTCCCATTGTATAACTGTATAACTCACGTTGTTAGTCTTGGGGGGACGGAACTGTAAAGCAGTGCACAAAGCCGGCCACAGCAACCTAGAGAGAGCCACTGGGCAAAAAATGAAAGAAGATCAAGAGCCTCGTAACAAGAAGTATGCACCCTCTCCTGCGGGGCTGGAGATTAACTTGTTGCTTCATACTGTCCTGAAACTATGGCCGGCCCAAGTAGAGTGTGCAAGCTGCAAGGGCCCTTTTGGTCGTGCACTTGGCTGGGTCCTCAACCATTAGCCGTAGAGTCTACGTTTGCGTAGTTGGTACGCTCTTAAGGACAGTTAGGCTTTTGGTTGGCACAATTACCCTGTTGTAGTGTTGCTGCACACACCCGCGCCAGTCAGAGCGATGGCAGAGCAATGGCAGGGTTGCATATGCGCTGCGTGCCTTCAGGGTTTCAACTATTGGGTAGACATGGATTTGCTCGCTGTGCCTAGGCAAGCAAGGCATGGCCATAACATCACTGTCCGGCGATGTTGCATCTGGTAGTGTTGGGATATGGCATAGGGTGTCGTCATAGGCAACTTGTCCAGATGCAGATCGGGAACCTAGCTTGTCGTTACCAGTGCGGCGAGTTGGCTTTCACAGCTGTATCCAGAAGCGGGGAAGCCTATATGCAGCCTGCAAGGGAGCATGCTCATGACATTATTGCTGTATCGGGGCTAGTTTGTATGGTCTTCATTTTGTCTGCGTGGAGCTCCATACACTCGGTACCCGGGGCCTGGAGCAGTGCGCATTGACCTGACCTGGACCGTGCCTGCTTGGAGCTTTGCTCCAGCCCTCCCTTCACAGGGGGCGTATAGCAGTGAGAGAGAGAGAGAGAGTATGAAATCAGCTTTGTTATTGTTGCTGCTGAGAGAAGAACAATGTCGAAATGGCGCTGGCACGCTAGCGCGATGAAAGATCTGTAGAAGCAGACCCCGAGCATACAGAGACCTCAGTCGCCACGCGATACACGAATAAGATCCATGCCAACACTTTGTGGAGCTTTGTGAAGATTTCCTCTGCCATGCTACTCGTCATCAGTCCAAGCCCACCAGGACAAAGCCTTTTGGAGCTCGGAAGTTCGTGACACAGTCGTGAAGCATCCCCTTCATGGCTAGGGTCATGCCCATGCAGAATTGCAGAGCATTGCAGACAGACGTCTTGCCGACCATGTTCTGAAAGACCAACTGACCTGCTTTGCCCGGCTTGAGTGGCTTTGTTGGATGGTCTCTGCCCGCAGGTGGAGCTTGACAGCCACCGCTTCTATGACCAGTTCGCGGATGTGGCCTGACAGCAACAAGTTGGTCAGCTCAGCGTAGCTGCTGTTGCTGGCGGGTCCTACCTTCCTGTCCCAGACTCTCATGTTGCAGTCAGTATGGGCGTTCACAGCAGCTGCATATCAGGATGGGTTAGCACTGGATGCTGCTGTCCCACAGTTTGCTCTCGGATAGACACATTACTTCTCAACTGATGCATTCGTTTCTGCGTCACTACGCGCCCAAATGTTTCGTTCCCGAGACCTACGACATGAACTTGTCCAATTTCAGCAACTACTCCAGCCCTGGCCGACGACTTTCCACAGGCACCTCGGATTGCGTCATGTCTCAGCTTCATCAGCCATCAGATGGGTTGAAGTAGCCTGGTGTCGAAAGTCTTTCGAAGAAAAGTTTAGAGACCTGCCAGGACGCCGTCTGTTGGCACGGCGCCTGGGTCGTCGCACTCCAATTGGAGAAGACGGCAGCTACTACGTTGAGACGCAGGGCTTTTTTTAAGGGATGTTTTCAGGTCAACACACAGTTCACCAAGCTCAGGGTGTACAGGGACAGTGGGTGTTGGCGAGTTGAAGACAGAAGCACGCTCCTGTCAGGATTGATGAGGATGACCTGAAGCCTCAAAATCCAGATCATCCACTGCGCCGCCTTGCAGTCACCTATTGGCAAGTTCGCTTGCGGTTAGTAGTGCAGATTCAAAACATCTTTGAAACCAATTCCAGCTTCACGTTCGGCATTTTGTTTGTGCTTGTCGCTGATAAGACAGGAGTGTAGCCTTCCCGAATATCTTTCCTGCAGGCTTTGAGGGTCCGCAGTACCTTTTTGAGGGGTTGATGCCAAAGCTTGGCATTTCACATCCGGAATTACCGGCAGACTACGCCTGCTAGCTGAATCTCGCAACGTTCTCTTTGCGTTTCCACCCTTTGGCCAGAGTCTGCAAAAGCAGTCTCGGCCTCATGTTTTGCAAGGCACGGCGTTTGGATGATGATGACAACCCTTTCTGGAAGTACAAGGCATGGGTCACTCCAGAGAAGATCGAGCCTTGCCTGGGGTGGGGACTATTCGGAACAGATTGGCAGGTACACAGGGCAAGCTTTTCTTGGCTCATGTGCTAAGGACATTGAGGTAGAAGCAGGGAAAGCCAAGCTGCAGTTCCTGGCTGCTTGGTGGCATGTCTGCTGACACTCGCTACAGGGGCGTGTAGAGTTGCAAGTAGGTTTATATTTACCTGCAGTTTGATAGTGTTATCGGTTTATCGGCTTATTGGCTAGAGCACAGACTCTCCTTGCAACTCCCATAGACCCAAGCATACCCCAACCTTGATAAACCCTATATGTTGCGTCACCATGTAGAAGCCTGAATAATTAGAAGCCCTGCACCCGCTTGAAGGCCCAAAAGCTTCTGCTGAGGTGCAGTACTGCAACCTGTGGAATCCGACCGCCACGAATTGGGGCGCTTGCCAGACCCACGCTCAGCAGCGTAGTGCGTACCAGTACTTAGACTTTTCACAGGAACCCCCGATGTGGCAGTTTCTCAAAATTTCCGGACCTGAAGGAATCTAGGGACACTCGGGACTACAGGGGCATCATGGGGGTGCCGATCAAGGAAATTATAGTGGTCAGGTTGAGACAGCTCCCATGCCATCCCTGATTTTTTTGTAATCCGCACAGATCCCCGGTCGCAACAAATGTTGAAACCGTGTTTGCTCGCTTTTCTTCTACACATGCCACGGCCAAACCAAGCTTCTAGAAAGCATGTCCAGGGTGAGAAAGCCATTTGTTACGACTTGCGTCGCCAAAAGGCTTCACGAAATCCATGTTTCCGGGATTGCTGGTAGCTTGCCTGTGGCGGCGGTTGCATGCGCAAGCGGGTTTTTGCTATGACTTCTGCTTTTCAGTCCTAATGGGCGATTCCTTGCAGGATTGCTAACATACAGCGCATCTCCTGGATAAGAAATGGGCCCGCCAGCTGTAGGGTACCCTTCATTTCTCAGCTACTCAAGTAGGCAGTGATTTCACATTTCCATCGTATCAGGCCGCCAGCAGTGGGGTACCCTTCATGTCTTGGCCCAATTCTTATTTGAGGTTCGAGCCCCTTAACGTTCAGAAATCTGGTGTTGAGAGAGTCGCCTTATCCAGTAGTCCATGTAGCCTCCAACCCCAATACGCAATGTGACCACCACTCAGGTTTTTGGAAGCTGAAAATGCACCGAAATAAGAGACATAGCTCCTTACAGCCCTCATTTCGGGGTTTGTTGAGATCTGGAAAAACCCGTTTATTGGACCTCCTTTTGGGACATTTGCGGCGTTTGCAGCCCTGAAGACCTCTGGACGCTCTGATTCGAGTAAAGAATAAAGAAAACATGTCCATTGTTAACCAAGGACTGGGCGAGCTGGAGGCGGCGATATTGTCAAGCTGGAAGCATACTGCAGTGGCCGGCAGATGATGTTTCCTTTCCCCAAGGTGCTCTGGCTTTTCCGAGATTCTTCTTTGTGAGCTAGAACACCTTCAGATAACTTCCTCGTAACATTGAGTTACAGCTCATGACCATGACCTAGCCTCCCTGGAATTGATAGAGTTGGCCGTGTCTCAGGTCCAGCTGGAGTTGGGTGGTCTGCTGGTCTACGATGACACTTCGGCAATGGGTATTGACACTGCTCCTCAGCGGAGAATTGATGGGCGATCCAGTCGTGCAAACAGTCCATATTCGTCCTACCACGGTTTTCCAAATTTCCATAGCTAGTGGCCAATGCCAGCCTGTCTGGCGACAAAATCCGCAGTGCTTCCGACCTGCAGAGACTTGCAGGACACCAACATGTACATGAGTCCAGTCGCGGCGAGGGGCAAGGTTCTCCGCATCAGTGGAGAGAATTTCGGGTTTGCTGACCCCGGAGAGGCCAGCCGTCTCAATGTTGCCCCTCACTCTCTTGGCCCAGCCACCTTGTACATTCTCGCATGCACCTGCAGGGCGGGACGACATTTCAGTTGAGATCTGCAGATGGCGGCATTGGTGTGATTGGAAGTGATGCCCGGGTTTGGATCCGAAACAGCGGGGGCGGCTTGCTTGTACATAATGAGTCGTACCTGCCAAGAAATCTAAGAAAGCAAGAATTCTTTGGGTTTGTTTGGTTCGTTCCAATCCCTCTACTGGTTGATGTTTGCTAGGTGCCCGACATAGAACAGAGAGCCCACAAGGCTTAGTTGCCACTTGTACTCGTGGGCTTAATGGCTTTTCAGAAGAACAGGCCTTTCGTAGGAAGTGAAGGAGTCTTATTGGGATGCACAGTTGATCTATCTGCGCTTAGGACGCTATATCCAAGACAGCCGCGGCACTGCAAGAACGACATGGAACAACCGTGGCTGGGAGAAGTTTCACGACACTTGGCTGCTACACGCTTCTGCGTGCGCTCGCGAAATGCTGTTGAGAATGGCTATCCGTGAGGGTGCATTAGGTTGGGAGCCTTGAGTCTAGGCTTATGGGAACCCGTACACGAGGATACAACTTCAAGTTGCCATGTCAAGCAACAGGTCGCAAATGGATCTGGATTCGCATTAATCTTGGTCCTGGTTGGCCTTTCCAGATCCCTGGATTCCAGCATTTCCTTCAAACGTGTCTAGAGTTTACGTACAGGCCTCCACGCCGGGGTGTGACCGCGCATAGGATTACTGCATGCAGCCTTTTGATCCCACACTCTGCCCTCTGAAGCTGCCCTTGCACGCTAGGCTTGCTCTGCTTCAAAGCAAGATCCTACGACATGGTAACACCACATGGTGAACTTGCGCAATGGATGACGTGACCTTGGAATATGAGTAACATGACAAGGTCTTGGACGCTGGAGGTGGCAGAGTTTACTTGCGAAGCCACCAATATATGTATCTCGGCGTCGAGGAGACCGGACCTCAACCAGGCACCCAAATGGCAGAGTTTCTTGCAGTAAAGTGTTTGCCGGGTGATTTCTCATCCACGCACTGCCAACAGCTAAGATGCACTGGAATGCGAGGCCCCTGACTCAGTGCTCAGGGAGCATAGGTTGTCCGGATGAGTGAAGCATCTGTCAGAGAGGTCACGCTTTACCGCGACAGTGCCTTGATGGAAATGGCCTGTTTTTGAGACCAGCTTCCAGAGGTAGACATCCGAGGAAATTGCAGGGGATCAACCCGCACATACAGAACAACCAGCACCACTGGCAAAGAGTGGCGTGGCTTTGGCAGGAGAAGGTGGGGCACCTCTGCTCCTCGATGCGAATTGTAAACTGGTAGTCATTTGCTGCATGTCCTCAATGAAACACATCCTGTGGTACTGTCCTGCCATGAAGAGTAGCCCTTGCTCTGCCTGGTTGCCAATTTAGGATGATGAATGGAGATCTGCACGTGCACGAGGCCATTGCCAGCTTGCGCCTCGTCTGCTTTTGCCTCAAAAGCCCCAGCTGGATCTCAGTGTCAAGCTGCTTTGTGTTGGCATTCCCCCTGGAATGCAATGAGTGTTTTTTCCGCATGTGCAAGGCCCAGCTCCCACACCGGCATGCCTGCCTTGCAATGAGGTGGAGTTTTACGACGAGGACGAGGATGTCAGCGGGTACGAGGACAACATATACGTGTTCGACAACTTCGACTGTGAAACGTTCAAGGATTCTTGGCTAAAGATTGCCAAGTTGATGCAGGGAGTTGCTTTCTGCATGATCTTCACATCAAGTCACCCAACTCAGAGCGACGTCAGCAACGACTTGCAACCGCCTCAGAAAGAAAGGGGTGCGATGTATTAGCTGCTGTGCCTGTACGATCGAGCCAGGGGGGGCCTGAAGATCACCGCGAAGGGACCAGATCCTCCAGATCCTTGGTGATGTTGAATTCGTAGTGTCAGGCTTCAAGCTTTCGGCCTGCTTGAGTCACCCAGCTGACACTCTTGGTGCCTTGCCAAAGGGGCATCATTTCCTGACGCATGGAACTCTGGAACATCGACGTTGCTTTTATTCAGCCTCTCCTCCACCCGCCAGATCGCAACCTTAAGGTCAGCTTCTGGCTAGTGATCAGCTAGTGATCAGCTAGTGGTCAGCAGTGAAACAAGGAGTTTGAAGGACGCTTGAAACTGCGATTCGGCTGCATTTTAGCTTTGTAGCACTTGTCAGCGGAGTCCAGATGTTGTGGACAAGGTACTGGTCGAGAGACCATCGTACGCAGTGGGTCTTGACGAAGGCAATCGCACAACGGAGTTCGCTGCAGTCCCGCTTTCGAGTGTGGCGGTGAGCAGATAAGGGCTGAAAATGCGCTGTGTATCCCTCTATGAACTGACCCTACAAGGGCGCCAAAGGGTAGGTCAAAGGAAAGCAAGAGAGCAGAGAGAGAGAGAGAGAGAGAGTGGGCGCCATTTTGGCTCAAGTCTCTGCCGCCCGTCCTGGTTCCTTGGGGCCGGGTTGGGCCTGTCGGAGCGGCCCCCTGACCCCCTAGAGAGTTGCCTCTGGGGGGAGGGGGGTGGACGCCGCCGGCAGGGGGGGGCTTGGGCAACACGGGCAGCCGTTTCCCAGACAGGGCCGAGAAGGCCTGTAGGACGTGCGAGAGCACCTAGGGACCGCAGACTGGGTCATTGCTTGCCGTGCCGGTGCATCGAGTGCTCCCAGGGTGACTGGTCGACATACTTTGCGTCTTCCTGCTGAGGGTTCTGCCCAGGGACTTCGTCGAGAACGTACCTCTTCGGCAACCGCAGCTGTGAGCCTGGAGGGGAGACCAGGGCATATGGATCTCGCTGCTAGAACCCCAGTACCAGGGCAACTGGAGGCTGAGGATGGGGACCTTCTCAACTTCCCGTTGGAAACCTCCAATGCACAGCAGTCGTCGCCTAAGAGAACGAGGTGGGACATACAACCCCAGCCTTCTGCGCTGACGCTAGAGGACCTTACCAGATCGCTGGCACCGCTTACCGGCACCCTTCAGACCCTCACTAGAAGGATGGAATCGGTGGAGGGACAGGTGTCTGACAAAGTGGGACAGGCACTTGATCTCATACGAACGGTAGATGCCAGGCAAAAAGAGATGACCAAGCAGATCGAGGGTGTTCAAACAGCAGTGGAGCGCCAGGCTAATCGCAACCAGGAGCAGGACCAGGCGATTGCTGACGTGGTCCGCCGCTTAGAAGCACTGGAGGAGCAAGGTCAGAGCGGAACTTGGCGTCGACAAGGACGAGAAGAAGGAGATGATCGTGGACCCGCAGTTATCATAGGGGGCTGGCGGCCGGACAGCGAAGCAGATGACCTGCTGCAAAAAGCCAGAGACTTCGTCAAGGCGCACGAGCTGCCGCTGACCATGAACGACGCCTTCGTCCCAGGTAAGCAGAACAGCTTCGTTGTGGTGCCGCTGACGTGCCAGCAGGGGGAGACTCCCCAGACTATGACGCGCAGGGCAATCACTGCGGTTGAGCTGGTGAGGAGATTGCAGTACAAGACAGGACACAAGGACGACCGGGACAAGGACCACGTGGTCTGGATGGCGCTGTCGCAACCTCCAGAAGTCAGGAGAAGGGCCCGGACAACGGCAAAGACAAAAAGAGCCATTTTGGAGGGCGCTGAGAAAAATGGTGGTCAGCTGCCGCCTGCAGCAGTCAGGGCGGACTACCGCCGAGGAGCGGTGTTCATCGAAGGCTACAAGGTTGCTGGCAGCGGACCGCGCCCAACCTCGGGAGAAGTCCTTATCTCCGACTATGGGTGGGTGAACGCCGAAGCTGTGTGCCAGAAGACCAAAGAGACGACGCAGTCTTTTGCAGACCGCTGGCGCAAGCTGGTGGAGGCGATCTACTGACCTGAGCCGCGAGACGAGGCTGACCTGGAATTCATGACTGGCATCCTGGCCAGCACCGACCCGGAATGGGACTTGCAAGTTTTTGGGGCCGAGCCTGCTGATTTTGGGAGAACTTTCCCGGTGAGCACGGCATCTCTGAGAGAGCATGAGCCACTTTCGTTTTCAACCCAGCCACCTGGAGAGAAACAGTACGCCCGGATGGCGCATTGTGTACAGACAACCTCGGACAGCCGTCCGCTGCAAACCTGCGTGCGCAACCCTTGGTCTAGACAAGACCGTGCAACCCACTTGATGACCTGCCGTGGGGGGTGCGCCTGAATCTTCAGCATTTGAAGCACTGGGAGGCCAGGCAGACAGCCCTGACCCCCCAACTGCCATCGGTACGCGCCAGCCTCCCGACCGAGCAGCAGCGGTTCTGGAAAAAGATGGAAGTCCCATGCACGGTGCAACAGCTCGTGAGGGAATGCAGGGATTTCAGACAGACCACCGTGTGACCGCAGTTGAGGGAGCGGAGAGCGGCTACATTGACAAGGCACAAGAAGAACAGAGTGGGGACGGATAGACGGGTGGAGCACGGATAGCCTGCAGCTCAGGGACCCACAGGTGGGCACGGAAAGTAGGCCCCGTGGCAGACACGACCAACACCGCAGGCAAGGCCGAGGGAGGAGACCGCGACACGCCCCGTTTCGACATCCGCAGCACAGACACCACAAACACAGCAGAAGCAGGCGCACAGGTAAAGACAGAGCTGACAGCCAAGATAAGGCCCAGGACAGTAGCCCCGCTGGGCCCACGGGACGGAGAGACCAACGGCAGCAGGGGCCTTGGGCGCAAGGTAGCCAGGGACCGCAGGCGTTTTCTGACCTGGAACCTGGAAAAAATGCAAATGGACAGGCTACCTGACATTCTCGGGATGATGGGGTTGGGAGACACTGTGCTGGTGGCCTTCCAGGAAGTTAACATGGAGGCGGGGATCCACTACCTTAAAGCGGGAGCGGTGGCAGATCAATGGATAATTGTGGCGGGCAAACAACCGGGCGACGGCGGTCAGACGCACCCTGGGCATAGTGGCGCTACAGGCCAACGGACTGGGAGTCTGCGTGGCCACCCCTGAGGGCAAGATGGGGATCCTAAACGTGCGCCTGCCACCCAAAGCCACGCTCAGGGCAGCAGCTCGACGCATGGGCGGCCATGCATGTTACCCGTGAACGAGCTTTCGACATGCTGGGGGACTTCAATGAGACGCTGACCAGGGACAGGGAAGGAGATGAGCTAACGCACCGCACGGCGAGAGGAGCGCTTCTCACACAGTGGTTCCATGACCTGGGTTTGGGCGCCCCGCCGCAGCAGTCGGCCAGCCCATCCTATTACCCCTACAACCAGGCTCACCGACCGCGCAGGCTGGACTCATCCTGATGCGCAGGACCGCAAGGGGGGGTGGTGCATGCTCTCAGACACATTGCATCCAGCGACCATGAAGGGGTCAGTGTGGTAGTGCTGCTTCAGAGTGACACCGGTCGAACCCACCCGGGAAAACCGGCCGCCGACAAACATGGACCAAAAGAACTCAGGCCAGCGCCGGCGATAGCCGAGGCACTAGGCCAGGCTGCGAGCCGAGGAGACCCCCAGCAAGCCATAAAAGCGGTGGCAAACGCAATCTCCCGACCAAGGACCAGCTACAGAACATACAGGGAAAGCCCACAGGTGAAGCACCTCAGAAGACGAGCCAAACAAACCAGGGACGGCCAGCAGGCGAGGGTGCCGTGGAAGCAGATGTGGCGCCTTAGAGCACAGGAGAAGGAGCAGTGGCAACGGAACCTGCTCAGCGCAGTCCTGAGAGAGGACTGGCAAGCTCTAAGGGTGGTGAAAGGCGAGAAGCAAGGGCAAGCGTGGGAAGCGGAACTCACCACCACGGAAGGATGGGAGAAGGACATGCGTGCGCACTTCTCAGGTATCTTTGCCAAGATGCCAGGGGAACAGGTCAAGCAAGGAGTAGGCAGGATCTGGGACCAACTGCAGCGTCTATGCAAGCAGACGAGATGGCGCCCCTTCAGCTTGGAAGAACTGCTGCTTAGCTCGCAGACTTGGGCACGGGGGAAAAGCACGGGACCCGACGGCATCAGCTATGAAGCCCTGCGCCTCCTCACCCAGCACCACCACTGGGAGGCCACCCTGCTAGAGGAATTCAACGACGCACTCTATAAAGGGCGAGCCGCCCCCAACACCAAGAAGTCCATCACCATACTCCTCCCCAAAGCCACTGGGGACAGACCAGACCCATCACGCTGAGTAGCAGCATGCTCAAATGGCAAGCCCAACTTCTCCTGGGACGGGTCGGGGAAGCTATCATGAGGGATGCAAGGTTCCAGTTTGCAAGGCCAGCGAGGCAGGCCCCGGAGCTGATCTTGCTGCTGCGGCGGACCATCCGCATCTGCCGTGAATGGGACATACCCATACATGTTGCTAAAGTAGACGTATCGAAAGCGTGCGATTCAGTCTCCCAGCTCAGCCTCGCACAGACCATCTTTGACAAGCTTGGGGACGCAGGCTGGGCGTGGGAAGCGCGCCTCTGGGTCGACTTGGTAAACAACGACTGTCTGGAAATACAAACCAGCCAAAATTGTCACAGCATACCGCAGACCAACGGAGTGCGGCAAGGGTCTCCGGACTCACCCGTCATTTTTGCCTCCGTGATTGGGGACATCATGAACGAAACGGAGGCCCATGCAAAGCAACAAGCAACAGAGCAGACCAGAGAACCTGTGGGCCTTGCGCAAACCCTTCTTGCAGCTGTTGCTGGACAGCCTTGCAGCCAGACTGGCGTGCCGCAACCTGGAGATCCACCCCACCAAGACACGCTACGTCCACACATCCAAACACGAACAGACGCTCAAGGTGGTCGGCAAAGACATCAAGGGAGAAGCAGGGGGTATGATCACTGTGTTGAGAGCACCGGTTGCGTTGGGAAGTGACGTAGTAGCGTGCTTGGGCGAGATCGCCCGGAGGGCCAAGGCTGCATACGGGGTGCACAAAGCCATGCTGCAGGGACCTGGTTCGCGCAAACAGAAGCTGGTGGTTTATGGCAGATTCGTAACGCCTGCCGCCCTTTGGGCGGTGGGCGCGGCTCACTCCCACGATGCGCTGCTGAAAGGGGCTAACACGCTCCCGCTGCTCCAATTGAGGCAGATGCTAGGGGTTAAGAGAAGACCAACCGAAGACTGGGTCACTTGGAACCAACGATCCTTGCGCTACACAAGAGGGGTGCTGGCGCAGAGACAAGACTTGAGATGGAGCAGTGTCATTCTCAAGCTAGTCTGGCGCCTTCATGGACACTTGGCCAGACACCAGGACCACGCCACGTCACTGATGCAATTGCAAGAGGGAACAGCAGAACCCCAAACGCCTCAGACACCCCCACAGATATAACGCCATGCTTGAAGCCGAAAGGATGCTGGACGCCGTAGCGTATCCATGGCAAACAGCGGCTCAGAACAGAAGCAGGTGGGCGACACTCGAGGAAGCCTTTGTCAGGAAATTTGATGTGGCATGGGCCACGGGGCGGCAGACCTCCTTGGAAAACTTAGCCCCCAACTAACCCCCACGCAACACAAAAGCAGCCTGAGATGCAGCGTCCCCCACAGACAACCGACGAATGACCTCGAGAGAGTGAGACTGATTGCGCCACATTGCACCAGCCGGACCGCCGCATCACAACCGACGGCCGCCCGCCGCCGCCCTGGATGACCGTCCACCGCCGCACCGCCGCCAGCCCCAAACCGAGAACCGACAAACCACCAAGCTAGAGAGTTGGTTCCTTGCCAGGACAGTTGCAGTGTGGAGCAGGAAGCCTGCCATCCAAACATGTCAGTCAGCAAGCGCGCAAGCTGGTGTGACATAGCAGAATCGAGCGTCCAAGCGCCACCCTGAGTTGCAAAATACCAGACCTGAACCCACTGACACACCAGTAGCAGCGCCATCACCATGCTTCGACAAGCCAAGCAGCCCTAGCGGCGAATAAATCTAGACAAGCAAGCAAGCATCAGGAAGGTTGAGCCTTGATAGCAGCACCCCGCAGTCTGCATCAGTGAGCCAGGTGTAAGAAAGAGGAGCGTCGGCCAATCGCTGAGCCCCTCTTCCCTGCGCATGGCCATGGCTATGGCGCTGGGACATGGATGGTCCTTGCCACGACCCTCGTGATGAGTGTGGCGAGCGCGGAGACCGCAATGCATGAGCCGCAGCAAGATCAGACCCGTGTACCGGCGACCACGACCCCATGGGGCAAGGTGCACAAGCGCAACGTCAACGAGATCGGAGACAAATTGGAGGCCAACATCGCAGCTGGATCCTGGACAAGGCATGCCGCGACCCACCTGGCACGGCAGCGACCAGCGACTTCGTGGCCAACCTGGACTGAGGATAAGGCATGCCACGACCCGCCTGCGCAAGGCAAGGGACAAGACGGATCGTCGGGGAGCACGCCGCGACCCACCTGGGCATGGCAGCAGATGGAGACCTTACCAGGCAGACGGACCGCGGACAAGGCCAGCCACGACCCACCTGGGCACGGCAATGGACAGCGACGATGAGGACACCACCGACGTGGTCGCCATGATGCGCACAGCACCCTGGCGCAATACTCAACCGGGCAGATCGCAGGCACGGCAGGGCAGACCCCCGCCTTTGAACACCCCGGGAGTGGTGCTCACGGAATCCTCCAGGTCACTTGGAACTCTGGAAGGGGAACATGCAGCAGCCGACCACGCGCCGGGGCATGAAGAACTGCAGCCGGAGGACACGGAAATGCAAGCCAACAGAGCTCAACTACGGAGCCTGGATCCTCTTTGCCTCCGAGCTCCCAGAGAGGCTCACGTCCGCGGAATTTAGACCCCTTATGGCTGGCGATTTTGGAATTGATCGATGAGGACCAGGCCAGGGACCTCCGTGACTCAGTGGCAGCGAAAACAAGAGAACCAGTCAGCTGCTGGCACCGAGGCTGGAGCAAAGAGCCAGGACAGTTGCAGCCCAACTTAGCCATCGAGAAGTCGCCTACGCGGTCATAGGGCTGCAGCTGGCCCTCATGCAAGCGGCGGACACCTTGACCTTGATCCTGGAGGAAAGGTTGCAGTGATGACTCCGGCGAGGGGCTGAGGAAGGCACCTGTGCAGAGAAAGGCCGGCCACGCGAGGAGAGCGAGGAGGAGATAGCAGTCGAAGAGCCCGAGGAGGCCGAGGAGCACGACGTCAACGCGCTCATGCAGAGGCCGGAAAGGCCGGCCGCCACTACCAACGCTTTCTGGAAGCCGGTCGGAGACGAAGACAAGCAGCGCCTACAAGAATGCCTACTAGACCTTCTCCCAGAGCAGACGAACCCGGAGCCCTCGTTCACGCTGCTTGCCATGATAGGTGCCACGCCACGTAGTTGTGAGAACGCGACCGAGGAGGCGGGCACAACACAGGTCGCCATGGGGGAACTGAGAGCCCCGCTGATACGGTGGCTTCGCACCACACCACAAAGCTGCTTGACACGAGCGATCAAGACCGTGCTGAGGATCCCGGAGTTGCCGCACCCCAATCTGCAGGCGATGCAAGAGGGGGCCCGGCGGCTTCAACAAGCGTTGGGCGAGCAAACCACCGCAGGACCGGTAGAGGCCCTCCAAGGGCACTGGCGAGACACGTCAGACGTTGGCATAGTCGAGGAGCTCCTTCAGCTGCTGGCCGGGGCAAATGGCGAGCAAGCATGCAGGAAAACAAGGCCATCGAGACCGTCGCTCCCCTGTCAGACCACCTTGCAGCAAGCCTGGGGCAGCCTCTCAAACCGAAGCCGCGCAGCAGGCTGAAACACCAGAGGATCCGGCGACCCTGGCTGCCCGCGCCCAAGCTGGGCCTGCAACACTCTTGGCAATCTTTGAACGCACCCAGCAGGCTGATCTTGGACGCTGTGCTGGCAGGAGTGCCCGAGGACTACATGGCCAAAGCAGCAAGCCTTATCAGTGCACTGTATGCCCAGGCGGATGGGGGACAAGCACCAGGCGAGTTGTTCAGGCTGAGGCTCGCATTAAGGCAGAGGCAGGGCAGAGCGTGGCGGAGACAGTCGAATCCTCGAGTGGCAGCAGTGATTCGGGGAACTAGGCAACAAACCGTGAGGAGGAGACGAGGGCGCCGCCATGCAGCCGCCGAGCCGAGCGGGGGGGAGAACAGTGCAAGCAGGCCCGGACCCGGGCGGGCAAATCCGCAGCCCAGTCAGCTGGGAAGCCCAGTATGAGGACATGAGACATGATGAGCACATGGCTTTGAAGGCAGCTGTGGAGGATGAAGAATACGAACAAGCCATGGTCGCGGAAGCAGAGTGGGAGGCGCAGTTTGACAACACTGGGCCGCGGGGCTGGCGAAATGACAGCACGCAGAACTGAGCACCAACAACGAACCCGCCTGAGCCTCCAGCAGAGGCGGATCGCTGAGGGGGGATGGGCTATGGGGCTCCTTCTTGGTTTAGTTGTGGTCCCCCTATCGTCTAAATCCGTACAGTCAACCAACTGTGAAGCTCATCCTTGCAAATCGCTTTAACACCAGGGGCGAGGGTTGAAGAGCAACCCGAAGGTGTAGTGCGCTTTTCACCAGGGGCGGGGCAGAATGGCACCGTTCTGCCGAAGGTGGCATAAGGTGCTGAAGACTTGCTGTGGGGATTCATGCCCTCTGGTAGCCTGGGCGTTAGCTAGATGGTGAGTAGGAGGCATAAGGCGGGGAGGCAGGCAAGCTGCACCGAGGTAGACTTCCAGAGACGAATCCTTCAACCGGCATGAAGGCCAAGAAGACAGCCAGGGGCGATCCTCCGAAATAAGAAAGAACAAAAGAAGAGAGAAGCGCCACGGAGGAGTGCATCCTAAAAGTCGTTAATTGTTGCTGTGCAGTTACCCCCGTCTCTGGAAGGTAGCAGGAGTGCGAAGCAGAGCCCAGTCTTACCTCACAGCTGAACTTTGGGTATGTAGGGTTGGAGTCCTAGGTTGGGGTCCTATGTTGTTTCTGTCGAAGTGGTTGGGAAGCTCAACGGAGGAGAGGAAGGCAAGGCAAAGTAATCCTGCGGCGGCGGCAATAGCCTGACCGCAAACGCAGGGGTCGGGAGCCTCGGCCTGGTGCATTGTTATGCTGGGTGTGTAGGCTGGGCTAGATCGTTGCTTGTGTGGGGTTTGGATGTCTACCGGGTCCGGAGCTTAACCCGATCGCCCTTGGGGAGACAGTCTCACAACCAGCTCGAAGGAAAGGGCTGCGCAGCGCACGGAGTTGGATCCGGCCCAGGGACTATTAGGGAGTTAGGATAGGACAAGCTGCGCAACCTGAGTATTCGCTGGGGCCGACAGATGCACCAAAGACCGAGGGCTCGGGGCAGTGCCCCGACCTGCCCATGGGGGCAGGTTTAGCCCATGCAAGCAAGCAAGCAAGTGGGCTAGGCAATGGGTCTAAAGAAAAGACCGGGCGAGACAGACAGGGGCAGAATACTACCAAAGGCAAATCAGGCAAGCCAGACTCGCAATTTTCAAAAACCACCACATAAGGTGGTCAACACACATACTCCAGGCCATCTGGAAACTTCACGGGCACATCGCACGACAGGCAGCTGCAGCGCCGGACAACGTAGCACAGGCGATCATGAAGTGGCGCGACCTCGCATGGTGGAAAGAGGAACAGGCAAAACCACGCGGCGCCAGACGTGCAGCAAGATACAACCCGTTGCTAGACGTGGAACGGTACATGGTCCACACGGCAGGGTTGAGCTGGTCCACGCGCACGACGTGGCATGGAGCACGGGGAAACAAGCAAGCATACAGAACCTGCGCCAGACAGGTTCGAGGTGTAAAGCACACCCAACAACAAACGGACAGATGCTCATGATACATGACCGGGCACCGCACCGATCCACCCCCCACCCAGCCCAACAGCATGTCACCACCTACACAAATCCCAGACGCCGCAAGAAAGAAAGGAGAAGAAAGAAGGAGACGCAGGATAAAGCATGGTCAGCTCTGCTTGCGCAGCTGGAAGCGGACAGCGTTTAGGAGAAGGCCGCAACACTACATGTTGGGCTTACGACCATGCAAAGTGGCAAGCATGCGAGCCTGCAGCACAAGCGACCCAAGCAACAAGGTGCCTTAGTCCAAGCCCCCAGCCCCTAGTTCCTTCTAGACCCCTCGGACATGGCCGGACGCCGAGTTTGGGTGGCAACCTTCCTCTACCTTGTCTACTTCACGCACCCCAACCTGGCAGTGAACAACGACGAGGACAACGCCACGGAGGAGAAGTGGAATAGCGAAGACGGAGACAACCGATCCTGGTGGCGCGAGTGGAGCGGATGGTGGAGCAATGAGTGGGGGTGGAACTGGCATAGCAGCTCGCAGACGCAGCCAGACTACAGCCAGCAGACCTGGCGTGAGGCAGAACAAGCCACCGCAGCACAAACAGCTGGAGAGGCATCCCAACCACCTCAGCCTCACGCCAGCTCAGCACAACAACACCACCAGCAGCCAGCGCAAGCAAGCCAGCCAGCCGAACACGATCGCCCCCGCCCACCCTCCACATCAGCAACAGCATCGCAGCCACAGCCAAGACTACGCGAGCCCGCGCAGCAGCAGAGAATTCCAACAGCAAACAAACCCAGCCAGGACGCCCCAGCAAGCGGCTCCCAGGACGAGACACAACCACCACCAGACACACCACCAGACAGACCACGGAGATGGGGGCCCCAGAACCAAGCAGCACAACAAGAATATCAAGCCAGTTTCATAGCTAAATACAGGCAACAGCAACAACCGCACCCACAGCAAACTCACCCTTCACCCAGTGAACCACAACCACCACAGACACAAGCTGCAGCCACCCAACAAGACCGCCAATCCCCACAAGACGTAGCAGACCATCGCCACGGAGACCAACCAACACCCGCTGACACACGATCACCGGACAACCACAACACCACCAACCACAACCACACAAGCCACCGCAACAAGAAGACTGGGCCCCGGCAGGGGCGCCACGAATCGTTCCAGACTGGGAGCGAGCGTTTGCGGAGCGCTTAGCACACCTACACGCCAACCGCAGACAGCGCCCTGCAGGATCGCGATCGCAGGCCACTGTCCCACAAGGAACACCGGCAAGCCCTAGCCACGAGGCAAACCCGCCACAACTTCACAACATCCACCTGGCCGGGGACACGCTGCCAGAGGGCCAAGTTTGGAGAGTGACAAGGGTGGGAAACTCACAGTTCCTATTGGAACCGTACCAAGCACAACAAGCGACCACCTTTTACCACGACTTCAGCGCAACCAGCACCTCCGCAACCCAAGCAATGCCAGCGGACGCAACCCAAGCACCACCATCAACACCAGTGTGGCAAGCAACGCAGCCACAAGCTGTGCAACCACAGCAGCATACATCGCAGCCAGCCAACCACGACACACAACAGTGCCACGACCAAGAAGACGCAGCCAGAGACCATGACGCAGCAGCGGATGAAACCTCACACATGCAGAAATACGTAAGCAAAACCAGCGCAGCAGCGCGACCACCTCACGACCCACATGACAAGCCAGCAGAGTCAGGAAGCGACAAGACACAAGCAGAGGGTCAGGAAGCCGCAGCATCACATCCATCAACCACGATCCAACAACAACCACCACCACACCACATCCAAGCAGCCACCAACACGAGGCCAGCAGCAACCAAGGCCAAACCACAGCCACACAAAACAACATGTGAGGTTCAAGAACCAAGCAGCAGCAGCAGCCAGGGGACAACCACGCTACCACACAACCAAACACACTTCACAACCATACTCAGCCAAGAGCAACCCTTCACGGCCCTCCAGCACGGACTGCCTGTGTTGAGAGACATGCTCAGCTATCAGGTCAGATCCCAAGCCAACCAGGCACAACAACCGCAACAGCACATGCCACCTCCACCTGTGCCACCACCAAGTCACGAGGAGCTCATCCTCTCACTACAAATTGCACAAACCCTCACCGCGCACGTGCAGAACTTGGCAACCAGAATATTATCATCCTACCCTGCCACACACATCCCCACAAGCAATCAACCCCACCACAACGACGTCATTACCATCGACAGCCAAGACTCACAAGAACAAGCGCCACCACCACCACAGCACCCTACACCGACCGCAGCACAGCAACCACCACCCACTACCACCGCTAGCCAAGCAACAACACAAACCTGGCCACCACAACAACCACCACCAGTGCAAGTCGAGCAGCAGCACTTTGACCCGGCCATGGTCACGCTCCCGCAGCCCAAAACAGCAATGCAACCACAACCATGGGGGGTGCAGAGCACGCAAGCCCAGGACAACAAAGATGTCACAGCTGAGGCACAGACATCACAAACAAGCAGCCAGCCACCAACCAATGTACAGCGAGCAACAGCCATGGTGGGTGTTAGGGCATCAAAAGCCACATCAAGCCACAGACAGAAGCAGATCCCCACGTCAGCACTCAGAAAATCTTCCAACACAGCCCCAGCAGATGACGCAGCCGGACGCCGAGACCTACAATGACGAAGCCGACGGCGAGCTGAAGAATGAGGGCAAGTTGGACGCCGACAACGCCGACCACCGCGACTACAACCAGGACAGGGACTGAAATCCAGCAACGAGGCCGACTGAAGAGGGCGAATGAGTTTCACAACTTACCAAAGCACCACCCCTGCTGAAAGACCCCCAAAGTAGCATCATACCCCAAGCTCTTCGTTTGCATTAGGGGGCGTTTAAGCATCAGCATGAGAGGAGGTAGCTCCAGGGCCACAACAATCAAGTAACCTTGCCTAGCACAGCTTCGCCATTATAGTAGTCCAACATCTTAATAATCTGGTCACTAATGGGGCAACTCACAATTGGTCCGTCTCACCGATACAGGCAAACCCACACCGGCGCGCTTTTCCCCCAATCTCCCCATAACTTGTACTACGGCTCAATAACTATATTCAAGTGGGAATCTGCCTGACCCCCACATGGCCAAAGCTTTTGACAGCAATGCCAGACAAAAACGCCCACCCTCAAGTACTGGGATTAACGGGATGCAAGCTGTTGTTTCTTAGTTACCCCAAGACAAAGAAGTAAGGTGGCAACAAAGCAAGGCATTGCTGACCGCTGACGAGCCATAAGCTACCACGACATACCTTGCAAGAGCATCACCCCCAGATTGCATACCTAAGAGCCTACATCCTAAATATGTCGTGGTCACAAATTGCAAGGATACCGCTTGCAGCACAGCTCAGGAATGGACTAATTATATACGCCAGGTCCCGTAACAACCCCCTGAAACAAGTCCATTCTGGAGCAACGAGGGGTGCAGTAGCATAGTCTGCCCAACAGGGGGGGGAAACCCTCTCCCCATAGCCTGAATGAAAGAAAGAAAGAAAGTGGGCTAGGTTATGGTTGTGATATAGCCCCCAGCCTTGAAATCACAAGGGGTGAACCGCTCTGTCTGCCCAACACGGGCTGGGCAATGACGCCCGGAGGGGGGGCTTAGTCCCTCCTCCATAAACGAAAGAAAGAAAGAAACAAAAATGGGACAGTGAAGCCCAACACGGGCTGGGCAGGAGCCCGGGCTGGCCCTTGCGGTCAGCCCATAGCCCGCCCGAAAGAAAGAAAGAAAAAAAGAGGGACAGTAGCCATTTTGGCTCAAGGTGCACTACAACGTGCTGAGCAACCTCGACAACTGCGCAGTCTCAAGGGGTGGTTTGGGCCAACTACTTCCCACGACCTGTGACGTGTGGGAGCAGCCAACCTAACCACTCCTGAAGTAAGACCAAGAGTTCTAGGGCAACCTTGCGCCATAGTACTTACCCCGTCAAAGAGTTTGATCACTGGGCAGCATCCTCAGGAATAACATTGCAAAAGCTTCCCCCGCCGCTTGCTCAAAACGATCTCGATAGAGTTTTCCCTTGGCAGCCTTCCCACGGTAGAGGATGCCTTGACCCGGTGCTATCACGACGCTGGGAGACAAAGCTCCTTTTCCCACAGTTTGAGCACTGGGCAACCTCGTTGAAAAGAGCATCCTTATGCAACGCAACCACTGACCTTAGCAAACTGGGCCACTATGGGGCAAACCAAGATGAGGCAAGCGACATTGTGGGCAAGGCAAGAGAATTCGGCATCGCACAGACACAGTTTGCAAACATGAGTGGGATTGACCGGACCATAATTAGGTGCTTCCAGAAAACCATTCCGAGAAATTTGGAACCATCCTTTTGGGATGGGCTGCAAAGTCTCTGTAGACTCCAAACGGCTACCAACCTCACAGTCAGAGTAGACACCAAACAGCTACCAACTTCGCAGTCTGAGTATACACCACTCGGCTACCTGACATGGTTCCGCCAAGAGTGAGACAATTCACTGCATACTTCGCATGTGGTCAACCCAGTACATACGCCCACGTGATGGTAAGGTACTAACACTTGTCCCAGTTCAGCAGTAACCTGCAAACACTTCCGGGCTTGAAGCACCGATGCAGTGCGCCGCGGTACCTACAGCCTTGTCTCAAAGCCGTGCAGCCGAGTTAGTCTGTTACAGAACGTGTGAAGTGTTCAAGCTCAGGGGGCAATTTGACAGTTTCAAATCACCGCAGGCCAACACTCACGGATATGACCCCTATGGTGCCTCGCATTCTCAACCAGGGCTATTAGCTGGAGTATGGAAAAGGCCAAGGTGACAACACGAGCAGGGGAGCGGACCCCCGGGGTCGGCACAGGTCGTTGGCTCCATTGCCCGAACGAAAGAAAGAAAGAGGGACAGAGAGCGTGCGCACAGCACAAGAAGAGGAGGAAGAAGAAAAGGGAAAGAGCTCCTCCCCATCCCTCCATGGCCAAAGCGTGATAGAGAGAGAAAGAGAGTATGTAGAAGAAGACTAAGAGTATGGTTCACCGGGCGAAAGAAAGAAACAGAGTCTTCGATGAATCACCACCCTGGGGAAATCTGAGTTTTTATCATATCTTGGCTGGTGGGGGTGCGTGACGTGCTACGAACTTTGTCAGGGCGTTTACTTTGCTTTGTGTTCTTCCCTTATTCCCTGCCAAGTTCGGAGAAGTTTAGAGCAACGCCATGGCTTGAAGCCAGAAGCATGTCCCGTGCAGAAAAGGGAACTCACGTTGCTGTCAGCTGACGACAAAGTTTACTTCAGAGCGGGAAGCTTGGCAAAGCTCCCACAACACGAAGACGTGTAGTGAGACAAAGAAGGCTGATGAGAGTGCGTTCAGAAGATGTGCCCTCAAATGCAGGGTTGGGGCCCCAGGGAGTTCGGCAAACATTATGCAACTTGAAGAATTGCAGGGAGATCCCGCAGGACAAGCAACCGACTGTGTAACAAGGAAGAGCAACTGACGAAGTGTGTATGTGTTTTTTTCGAAATCAGACAGGGCGAGCGCTGACTTGGAACTTGTAAATCCCATGAACAATGTTTAGGAAATTCGGGATGGTGCCAGGGAGTCAACCAGCCACTCTGGAGCTTCGTGCCACTGTCTAAATTTAAAGCCCTCAGGAACCCCAACCCCTAAATACGAAAAAAAACCCAAACCTCAAACCGGAGCCATCCAGAGCCCTAATGAACACCAAGCCCAACACCTCATCAACCCCAAGCCCTAAACACTAAAATGCCCCAAAGCCTGAACAATGCGCGCGATTCCTGGTGGGCGAACCAAACACTTGCTTCGGGAAGGGGAAGGGAAGGGGGGGTAGGGGTACATTAAGCAAAGGAGGGAGAGAAGTGGAAGGAGAAATAGAGAACGACGCGCATGTGTGTATGTTTCCTGCTTTCAGACTGGCGATGGCAGCTCCATCGTGTGCCGGCCTTTGCTAGTGCGGTTCAACCCTACCAGCCTGCATTCGTTCATTCCCATATCGATGGAATTTGTCCAAGGTCATTCGGTGATGCTCTCCTCTACGGCGGCTTGACATTTTCCAAGGCCTGGAGCTGGTCTCGCTTTCCGACTTCAAGAGTCTTCGGCCCGGTCAGGACATTGAGATCATTTGGGACATTGGCGCCTCATGGACTACTGAGATTGGAGCGGCAGGGGCGTATCACAGCAAGCATGGCGTTTACCTCGCAGAGGTCTACGGGAAGCTTGCCTAACTGGCACTTACATGGGATGTCCTAAGCTCCATGTTTGTGGTTGCATTTGCGATGCCTGAACGTGGTCGTGAACGCCCGAAATTGACAACTGCAAGCACTTGAGGAAGACTATCTTCGAAATTACACCTGCCCAGATCTACTTGTTTCTGAGACGCATTTGGAGTTGGATGGAGTTTCGCTGTTCAGGGTGCAATGTTTTTATGACATGCTGTGGCATGCTTGCTCCTTTCACTGGTCGTAAGCCTCTCGCACCAAACTCCGCTAGCCGCTAGTGAAAGATAATGATGGGGATGAATCTAGCAACATCAAAAACCACTTGCTTGCTTGCCAATATTTATTAGAACTCCATGCAAATAAAAAAGCTGGTTAAAGTAGACGAGCGGCCGGACATCTTCAATTCAGCAATTTTTCCCTAGGATCACCGAGGGATCAGTCAGTGGAAAGGCCCGGCGACATGCTGTACTGCTTCTTAGACCGTTGTGCTTGAGGCTCCTGAAGTTCAACCCAGATGAGCCGTGGGACACGCCACTAGACGCAGCACAAATGGAAGCTGCACCAGGGATCCAGGGCAACTGTCAAGCGTGGTGAATCTTTTCTGTTCCGTGCAGCCCAGGAAGTACAAGAAGTGGAAGATGTATGTTGGCATCGGATATGATGCTTGTTATGCACGCAGCCACAGTGTTCGTCCTTGGTGGATGCTGGGTGCCACGTCGTGGCAGTGAGGTTGTGCAGTCTTTGCATGTTCTAAGTCTAAGGAACTCGATGCGTTTGTCGCTGCCTTACTCGAGATTGATGCTGTGGTGCATGCTAATCTGCCATCATTGCCATCCAAGCACAGAGGAGTCCAGACCTTCTGAGGTGTATACCTACAGAGACGAGTATGAGATTACAACTAGTGATCTCAATTTTTGAGGCATCCCAAAGGTGATGCCACGCAACGGGAGCATCAGAATATGCCTCATAGGTTTGAAGAGGCCCCATCAATGTGAATTATGCCAGGGGCTGGCACCTTCGACTTGGCTCTTTGAGTCCATTTGCATGACACACGCATGTTTGCTTTTCTGCTCTTTTGGAGTGGAATATGGACCAGCGCGCCGATGATACGCGGCTCTTCTCTGCGAATCTCTAATCTACCGCTCTAAGACTCCAAGAGTCTCCGAGTAGATGGACTTGATGGCCATGCACTTGCAGTATTTACCAAATTTAGCGAGGAGCATGTGCTCGAGCAGCGCTGGTACTTATGTCCGCTCCCGTTAAGCACTGATTGTGAAGGACAGTGCTTTGTGTACGCAGCGTGTGTGACTGCGCTTTGTGTTTAAACTTCATACATTGTAGATATCTCAGAGGTGGCGCCCAGCGTGGCTTGCAGGTTTGCGCCGTTGGCTTGCCAGAAGAGCATCTCCCGTGCATTGCGATTGCTACCAAGCTTTTGCCTGTGGCTTGCGAGTTTTGAATGATAATTGGCGGAGATGTGCTTCCAAGCCACTTCTGATGCACAACGATGCTTGCAAGTGACAATCGGGCATTGTTTGCCGCCAAGGAGAAACGAAGATGACACCCGCATTGCTGGCATGCAGGAATCCAGGGGCTGGTAGGAGATGAGTGCGATAGCAATTGCTAATGATTGGAGATTTGGAGAAAATACGATGACCTTGAATTTGCCCTATAGTTGGGACAAGATGCCTTCTATAAATATCTTTATTTTTATACCTCAATAAAACGGCGCGGCTACTTGTAACCATGCGGGGTCTAATTTTTCCGCCTCTCCATTTTCTACGGATTTCTGCGCCCTCCCCCTCATTTCTCTCCATCTCATTTATCTCATTTCTTTCTGGCTTTCTATAACGCGGCTCGATCTGGGACATGATCATAAAGGAAAATCATTTAATATATAATATTAAATAGATTTCATTCTTAGGACTTCTTAGATAGATTGGCCATTATTATATAGAATATCTTCAGAGTTGATGAAATAATTATTTTCGAATTTGAATTTGAAGGATGATATTAGACTACTATCAATCGACAAATAGAAAAGATAAAGAAAGAAGATGAATATTTAGAAATTATATATAGAACATTTTAGATAATTATTTCTTGAGATATAGATGATCTTGGGAGATATATTTTTCTTCATTTCTATAATATATTTTTCTCTTAGAATAGGTCTAAATGAAATCTTGATAATTGAATTTCTTATGAATAGTATTTTTTGATTCTATATATGGAAAAAAAATCAATATAAGATTATGCTATAAATTTTATGATTTGAAAGATTATTCGCTTATTATTCTTACCGCCTCCTTAACATCGCTAATTCTGCATTTTGGGATAGATAATAACGGCTCAGAGGTTATAAGCTTTATTCTCGATTTGGTAAACTGATTTTCAGAACTCTCAGCTTCGGCTTCGTCAAAAAGATCTAGGATGCTAAATCGAAGCAGCGTCCCACGGGGATTTTGAGGGATTGTCGCTTCCCCGGGATTAATTGTGCGTGTAATATTATATAGGATATTGGGCTGATGGCTGGGTTCGCTGCGCCCTAAATCACGCTTTCGACAATCGGCTTTCCAACGTGGCATTTTCAGATTCAATAGCCATTCGATTTGGTTTGCCTTTATTCGTGCCTTTATTCGATGCAGATGAGGCTTATTTGCGATGCCCTCAAAATTCAGATCAATATGATCATCATTGCTTAATCTATATCATGATTGGCAAGACGGGATTTACTAATTATATCTATGATGAGATTTGGTATCTTTTATCGGGAGGGGAATTTGGATTGAAGATTGAACCCTTGAGACTTCTCCCCGACGAGCCCGATAGGAGACCAGCTGATCTTCTAATCATTCCCTCGGCGCTGGGCCGACAATCATCCTGGCATTTTCTACCTCAGATTACAATTGATTTTCTGGTCGTCTCCCCATTTCGAATAGCAAGAGGGCATAAGAATATCGAAGACTATGCCACTATTAAGAGGCTCAATCAGGCCACCCACGCCAGATGGCGAGAATAGGAAATTGGATTTGCTTCTATTGCGCTGCATCACGTAGGGAGGCATGAACGAGGAGGAAACTAAGATTTTGGATCCCTTATATAAGATTATCGATACCCCTAATGGACGTCAAGCTGGACGTAATCGACGCTTATTGCAAGAACGAATCTCGATTGCCCTCCAACGATATAGTAGTCATTACCTCATACATAGACGAGCGGGCTCCCAAAGAAAACAAGATTCTTTGCCTCTGGGATTATTTTTTGCTTGATTCTGACCTCGAATCTTCCTCGATTCCGCTTTATGATTGCCGATAGCCAGGACGATCCCCAACGCAGGTCGCAATCGATAGATGGAAGATATAAGAGAGCTTATTTGAGTCTAGAACGGAAATCTCTCCAAGCTGAGTTTCACTTGCGGTCGATATTGTCCCCTTTTGTGTCCGCGGGATTTTGGGTTCCTGGGCGTTCGGCGGGCGGGGACGAATTTTAATATATGCGTCTCTTTTTTATGATTTCTCCATCGATCTCTTTGAATATATAATCATAAGGAAATTTGGAATTCCCTTTTTTCTCCTTCCTAGGTCTCGCATCGCGCAAAGGTATCATCTGACTCGTTCTATATCATGCTCCTGAATTTCATTTCCAACCAATCTATCAAGAAGCTAATCGCCTAATTACTAGGATATGATTATTATGAGATCTATAATTGGAATTATCATTTAAATTATTCAATTTTCTAATGCTCTGAAATTTTCGAATAAATCATTTATCAAGAATGAAAGCAGATGATTCGAAGAATCTCTTAGGGCGAATGACTAGGCCAGGCAGATATTATTAGGATTCTTTTATGATTTATTCGTATCTTTTTCAATATGAAAATGATGACGATAGCCGCGGGAGTACGGAATAATTTATCGATATCAAATTTACGATTGAATTATGCGCGGGATAATTCTAAGAATTCGTAGATCTGATCATTTTAATATATGCTGAGAATATATCGTATCTTATCAATATTGATTTAAATATATATTTAAGATTTAAGAATTAATATCTTGCCATAAATTACAATATCTAATAAAATTCATTTCAAATCATTTATTAGATATTGGGATTAGGACGCTGCCATTTAGAATCTCCTCCCATATATGAATCTAGAGATATATCCAATCTTTCTTCAATATCTCTTGTATATAACGATATCTATTTAGAATAATCATTCATATCTGATAAAGATTCCGACATAGGATCTTCAGAATCTGATATCAAGAGGTCTTCGTATAATCGGGATTATTTCCGCAAGGATCTCTCTCTCTTCAGATATATCGATTCGTCGATAGACGAAGATCATCAAGAAATTAGATTCTATAAAGATTCAGGAATAAAGATATATCAAAAGAATATCGATATAGTATTTGATCCTAGGAATGGGATATCTCATATCAGAAAAAGAATTCTATTAGATCAAATATAAATAAATTTTCAGGAGATGCAGAATCAGATTAGAGATGAGATCTGATAATTTCGTATATATAGGGTCAATCAATCGTAATATAAAATAGCTATAATTGAATAAATTAGGATAGAATTCAAATCAGAGGCGATTCAAATATGAGAATTCTCATTCGAATTGATGATCTAATTCTATATTTGATAAAATTAAATTAGAATCTTCGCATATCAGATCTTATCTCCATCTATATTCCCAATATCAGAGAATCTCAATGATATGAAATTGAACATACGATTATTGATTTGAGGATTGAAATTCAGAATTTACATATTTCAATAATTTCTATATCTAAATATATCTTTGATAAATGACATCTGAAATTCTTTTCTATCAATTTCCGATTCAGATTCCCAGAGATTCTCCTATCGTTCGTCAGATCAAAGATCTCCCAAGATATAGAGATAAGATAGAAATATCAGGCTCGTATAGATCATCTTATCAAATATCAGATTCATAAAAAGAATCATCAATTATCATTGTTCCCTCGATCAAATAGAATCTATCTCCGCAATCTTCATATCATAGATCTTTGATTAGATATAATCGCATGCTTATGAGATCAGAATAGCCGCCTTATTATCAGAAGAATATATTTATAAATAAATAGATTTGATCGTGAGAGAACGCATTTATCAGAAAGATTTATAGAATAGATCGGATAGAAATTCATATATTATTATATTATCAATATTTAAGATCTCCGTCAATATAGATTTATCGGATATTCAAGGATTACCCAGATTTGCTTCGTATTTAGCTTCGATGCTTATAGATCCTAAATATCTCAGCAATGAAATTGATATATAATTATAAGACTAGATTGAAGCTTGCCAGCTTCAATATGCTGCTCCAAGAGATCGTATGATATTGCAAAGGATTGATCGCAAATACTTCCTTGATCAAATTCGTAGAGCCAATTTGATTGAGCAGGATTGATAGAAATATAATTTGATATCTTCTCATATCAATCTTTATCTATATTTGCCGATCGTATAGAATATATCATAGATTCCATTTCTCCCGAATATCATCTATCCGATCAGATCATGATTCTTGATTATTTGGTCATTTGAAGAAA